CACATTGTCCCAAGCAGTGTTAAACTAGCTTAGAAGCACTGAGCAGTAATAAAGAGGACAGAGGCCGTTCATAAGTACTAATGTAGAAAGAGATACAAGATAGAGTTAGATGAAAAAATGATAGAATACATGCACACAATGTTTAAACAAATCTACAAATAATTAGTGCAAAAATTAAAGTCAATGCAGGTATATGTTTGCTTTTCCTTTTCTGTAGACTATCACAAGAAAGATAAATAAGAAACTGTACTAACCCTCCTACTACATCATTTTGTTTCGGGGTCTGTTGAAAGCTGGAGTCAGTAGGAATCCAAGTGAGCCTGGGAGGACACTTCTGGGGGAAGAAAAAATGTCCTATCCAGGGAAGACACCAAATACACATTTTGCCACTTGGCTGTCTCACCTGGACTTACCTGTACCTGCAAGTTAGTTGCGCTACTACTGAGAACGGGTGTATTGTAATTATTTTTACTAATAGCTTTGAGGAAAAATATCATTACCCAATTCTTGAAATCCTTTTTGAACTGAGAAAGAATGAAATGAATTTCCCTTGCAGAAGTTGAGGAGTGACTTCTTCTTCTTCTTTTTTTAAAAAATAAATTTATTTATTTATTTATTTTTGGCTGCGTTGGGTCTTCGTTGCTGTGCGTGGGCTTTCTCCAGTTGTGGCGAGCGGGGGCTACTCTTCCTTGTGGTGCATGGGCTTCTCATTGCAGTGGCTTCTCTTGTTGTGGAGCATGGGCTCTAGGTGCGTGGGCTTCATTAGTTGTGGCACGTGGGCTCAGTAGTTGTGGCTCGCGGGCTCTAGAGCACAGGCTGAGTAGTTGTGGCGCACGGGCTCAGTTGCTCCGCGGCATGTGGGATCTTCCCAGACCAGGGCTCAAACCCGTGTTCCCTGCGTTGGCAGGCGGATTCTTAACTACCATGCCACCAGGGAAGTCCCGAGGAGTGACTTCTTTTAAAAGGGAAAAAATATATGTGTTTCAGGGAATAATCCTCCCATCTTTTGATTTTTTTTAAAACAAAGAGTCACTAGTGCTGCATGCAGATAGAGTAGCTGGGTAGTCCCAGCTCAGTCACTTCACCTTTCTGGCCTTTTGTGTTCTAAATGTCTTAGTAACACCTACTCTGCCTGCTTTAGACTAAAAAATTGTGCTCACTAATGAGATAAATGAGATGAAGTAGGGAGAACACTTTAAAACTGCATCGTGCTACAAACTACTGTATATAAAATAAACAACAAGGTCCTACTGTATAGCACAGGGAACTGTATTCAATATCCTGTGATAAACCATAATGGAAAAGAATATTAAAAAGTATATATATATATATGAATCACTTTGCTGTACACCAGAAACTAACATAACATTGTAAACCAACTATACTTCAATAAAAAGAAAAAACAGTGGCTCTTGGATGATAGGAATGATAGCACAACAATATGAATGTACTTAATGCCACTGAAATGTACACTTAAATATGGTTAGAATGGTAAATTTTATGTTATGTATATTTTATCATAATAAAAAAAATTTAATGGCTCTTGACATTTGTCCTTAGGGTTTGAGGTACTGAGAAATTGTTCCCAAGAAATGGTTCCTGGGGGTGGGCATAGAGTGTAGCTGGAACTTGGAGGACTTTCACCTTGACTATGCTCAGACCTCCAAGAAAATATTTGAAAAGCTAAGTTGATGACATGAATATTGCATCCCAGCCCAACAGTTACCTCAATTTCTTCCTTTCTAGATCAGTGGGATGGGTTCTTGTTTGCAGTAGGATCTTTTGTGGAAGTAGAGGGGGCAGGTTCCAGCACCCACCAAATTGCAGAATATACACTTCGGGTCAGTGATGTAAACTCTTCATCTACCTGCTCATGACTGTCTAGTCATCTCAATACAAAAACAAAAATCAAAGACTTCAAAGCCTAGCTGTTAAAAACTTCTAGAGAATTGGCCGAGTCTCTTCCCACATGGCCGGGAGGAGGTGAAATAGATGGATTGGAATGCAGTCTCCTTTCCCTCACCATTGCCTTCAGGATTCTAAGGTCAAGCCAAGGCCAGCTTGAGGAAGGGGGAGGAGGGGCCCAGTAGAATGCACGTACCAGACCACCCGGCCTGTGGGTCAGTTGTATACAACTTAATAGAGAAGCAACCAACAAAAGAGCATGCTTGTTCAGGGGATTTTTGTTTCACTGTCAGTATTTGTCCTTGATTTGTCCTTGACTAATGTCCTGTGGTTCAAGTCCAGATCAATGGGACTGGTGTGTTCCAGCCCGCTGAAAGGAGGTTTAGTCATTCTTGGCTTTCTTAGGGAAATGTACAGGTCCAAATCTGATTTTAGCAGATTAGTAGACATGAGCCTCTGGAGCAGGCCATCAGGTGGGAGCTGAGATTCAGGAGGGTGGAAACCTCTCGGCACTTAAGTCCAAACAGGCTGTCCTGGGCTTCCCTGGTGGCGCAGTGGTTGAGAGTCTGCTTGCCGATGCAGGGGACATGGGTTCGTGCACCGGTCCGGGAAGATCCCACATGCCGCGGAGTGACTGGGCCCGTGAGCCATGGCCTCTGAGCCTGCGCGTCCGGAGCCTGTGCTCCGCAGCGGGAAAGGCCACAGCAATGAGAGGCCCGCGTACTGAAAAAAAAAGAAAAAAAAAAACCAAACAGGCTGTCCTCACCCTGCACTGGGCAGGGACCAGCTCCCTTATGTCCCGCTGAACTGCATTGCCTCCAGGTTTTCCAGCTTCCCCAGGACTAAAGACCAGGTACATTATTCATTTCCATGTAAATAATCAAGCAGACGTCTAGCTCAAGAAGGAGGCAAGAAACTGGTTAGAGCAAGTGAATTAATATTGATCCTAGAAGATCACAAAAGGAATTTAACCAACTTCAGGTTCGCAATTCACTTGTTGATTATTCATCTTCCTTTTTAAAAAGATCTAAGACTGGGAGAGCCTAGGATCAATACCTTACAAATGACACATCAAAGCCCTGAGACTCCCCCATTCCTCCTCAGTATGGCCCCCTGGATGCCTGCTGTGGGTCATCCATTTCTGCCAGGCTGAGGGCTGGGGGCTGGACGTAAACTCTCAGGTGAGACAATCTTGGCATCCTGTGTTGGCCGTGCAGTTGGTCAGCTGATTGACACTGAACTTAGTTTCCTCATCTGTACAATGTGACTAATAATTCGTAGCCATCTTACAGACACTGTGAGCTTATGTAACACAGTGGTAGTGAATATTTACTGAGAACTGTCAAAGGTCCAGGCATTCCTTTAAGTGGTCAGTCTGTTTTGCCTCCTGTAATTCTGCTCAGGTAGGAATTCCAAAGCTGGGGCCTGAAGACTGGTATTTGTTTTAAACCTCCTCAGTTAACCCTCAGATCAGTCAAGTTGAGAACCATGGGTGTGTATTAATGTTCAGACACTGATTAACCTCTCAGGGTCTTAGGCACACAAAACTCACTCTGCCACTCACTAGCTGAAGGTACTTGTCCAAGTCTTTCGCCTCTCCAAACCTCAGTTTTGTCACTCAAATGGGAACATCCACTTCTGAGAATTGTTCAGAAGGTGAAATGAGCCAGTGTGGGTGGCTGTGCCTTGCACACATAATGTTTATTCAATATTAGCTGGTGTCATTAGGCGGACTCCTTTTTCATAGGTGACCTTGTGACCTCTGTGCATAGGTCATTATCTTAGTTTAAATTTACTGCTCTTCCACCCACATGGTTCATTTCAAATCCTAAATGCTGGGGAAGGGGAGATAGTGTGTTATGGTGGGAAAATCCTTGTTTTTGGTCCAACGGGACTGAGTTCGAATTTGGGTATTCATTTGAGCCTCTGTTTCCTCATCCATGACATGGGAGAACAATCCTCTACTTTGCTGGGGGAATTAGAGATAATTGATGTAAAGGTACAACATATAGGTATTGTATAATTTTTGGTGTTTTTGTTATAAAATGTACAAGGTGTAAAAACAAAAAGGCAGAAAACCTTTAAAAAAATTCAAACAGGAAACGGAGGCAGAGGGTGGGAAGGGGATGGAAGATGAAGAAAAGCTGGGGAGGTTTGGGGGCTCAGGGTCCTGGGGGACAGATCTCCGCATTACCACCACTCCAGGCTCGGCACTGGACGGGTACCGGTCACTAAGGCACAGCACTGGCCAGGGACTGTTACCCTTGCTTAGGGCTGGGCCAGACCCACATCCCCTTTTGTGCAGGATCTCCCCAAATCTCAGCAAGACATCTGCTTCGACCCAAGAAGAGCTCTTGCCAGATGATATGGGGGGCTGGTCCATGGCTTCAGTGCTGAGATTTGGGCCACAGAATAGAGGAATAATTCCTCTCCCCAGACCCCTTTCAAGGAGGAATGGCATTTTTACTTGCCACAGACAGTCTCAAATCTGTCTTTAAAAATTATAGGCCTTATATACACTAAATGTAGTGAGTATACAGCTTCCTGGTTTTTAGTTTGCATCGGTTCCTTTAAATAAGAAACATTTTCTGTTCGAGTGAATCACCTCTGTTTTCCAGTTTTCAAAGTCAATTTTATTCTCTAGTTCTCTCTGTTCAGGAATTTTCTTTCTCTCTTACTGAAGACCAGATTTTGCCCTTCTGCCGGAGGGCAATGGTTTCACAGGTTCTCTTTCTTTTATCTCGCGATGTTTCAAAGCCCTGCTGAATTCGTTAGTAAATTCTGAATGTGGAGAGGAGAGAAACAGGAAGTGAGTCTGCTGGGACAGGCAGAAAAGCCTGCTTGAGTGATCGAAAGTAAAAGAAAACTTCTTCCGGGAGGCCTTTCCAACCCCACCTCCTTCCTCCCCCTCCCCCTTGCCTCGTTACAAGGGATTTTTCTCCGGTTGTAAGAACCCGCCTCAGTAATTGGAACGTGTGAAGTTAGGCAGTCTAGGGGTCTTGGCATTGGGAGCTTGGTGACTGTGATGTTGCCAGAGTGGAGCAGGTGAGTGTCTGGTGCAGAAGTGGCTTCTGGATACCACGTTGCCCACTCAAGGGGCAGATCAGACCTGCAGAGTGGAGTCACCTCTGGGTCCTGCTAGGGGCCCAGATCTTGGACTGGGTTTCTCTCTGAACCACAACCACTGACTTTGCTACTTTTTAACTCTGAGGAATCTCTGGTTCCTCTGCTGCCTCAAATATAGACACACTGTCTCTCTCCTGCTGGATTACTTTGGAAATTCTACAAGACTTTATTTACCTACTTATGTTTAAATTATTTTCTGTTTGGCCTGGGGCAGAGGGTTAAGTTAATCACCCTGTCAGATCCCTATTCCCTGTAGCCCTTGGTCTCTAAGACTTACGGGCCCCTCTCCCCTGCCCTGTTCTAGGTACTTTCTTTGATTTCCCCACTCCCACCCTATCTCCTACCCTCCCAAAGACGACCCTCTAAATCTTTTGATACATATCCTTGAATTGTTCTGTATCTTTGCAAAATGTGTCCTTGTTTTGTGTGTGTACGCTACTTTTTAAACTGTGTGATCAGGAACAAGAAAGTAATTTCTCTGTACCTCTGTTTCCTCATCATTAAATGGGATTAACACTCCCTCATGAGGTGGCTGTGAAGATTTAAGTTGATAACAACAGCATGAGCCAATTAGGACAGTGACTGGCACTACTAAGTATCCAGTAAGTGTTAGCAATTATTATTACGTATTAGTATTATTTGTATTGTATTTTGCTTGTTCCGTTTCTGACTTTTTTTGTTTTTCAAGTAAGCACTGTATTTTAAGTTCTGTGTAATTTGCCAGGTCCCACTTTGTAACCACTACTTATTATTCCATGATGGACGGTCTCCCAATCCTATATAAGGACTATAGGAGAACTTGCCCACCAATCTTTAGCCTGATCCAGCTTGCAAACCTTTGCCATTCTGATAGGTACAAAGTAGGGAGCTCGTTGCTTTATTTTGGCACTTCCCAGCTTACTCATGAGTCTGAGCGTCATTCGTACACTTCGGCCATCTGAGTATCCCTGTCAAGGAACCCTGTGTCCATATCCATTGTCGTTCTCCAGGGTTTCTTTTCCTCGTTGATTTGCAGGAAACCTTTGTATGTTCTAGATATTGCTACTCCTGTGGCACATCCTGGGAACGGGCATGAAATATTTGGTCTCTGCCTTTGAGAAGCTCACAGCCTCGGACAGGAACCAGCCACAAAACAGCAGGATGAAAGCTGAGTGTATGCTCAGGAAGCCACAGGAAAGAGTCAGGGAGCACATCCTGGGCTAGGATTTAGCCATTAACAGGATTTCATTCTGTCACTGTGCTCTCACTCAGAGTTCTCGGGGCAGAGTCGAGGTAGCAAAGGGCACAATGGGACCACGGCACCCTTCCCTAGCCCTCTGCAGGTGGAGGGGCACTTTCAGACATCTCATTAATCCTCTCAGCCGTGAGCTCTGCCCTCTGAAAGCTAATATTCCATTTGGGGAAAGAAAAAAGGCAGTTTCAAAGAAGAGAGGTGTTTGATTTTTTTTTTTTCCTCTCTCTAGTTTTATCATCAGAAAACATTTCAACTGACTGAGAGCAAAAAGACAGGGCTAATGTGTGCTTTGTTCTCCAGGGCCAGTCCATGGTGAGGGCCCCAGGATTTGTCTTTTTTGGTGAGCTCGACTGGGCCTTTTGGGAGGAAGGACTATGATTCTAGTGTTTTCTGGGCTGCTGAGGGTGGGGTCTTGTGGCCTCGGGGTCATGGAAGTGATCGTGTATGTGAGTGTAGATGGGGAAACCAAGAGAGTTTCTGTGAGGGTCGGCAGACCCTCTGAGAGCTGTGGTGAGGGCCCTGCAGTTTACAGATCCCAAGACCACTCAGGAGTGCTCAGTGAATATTACTGAATGAAACCATTAAAGTCTTCATAATGAGCCCCTAAAAATCTGTAAGTTCCTGCAATATGAAAAGAAAGCGTTCTTAGCTATCATCCAGTTCAAACTGGCTCCTGTTGGAGTGTGGTAAGGAGGCCCCGAAGAGAAACTGACCCGTCCAAAGTCACACGGCCCGAGCCAAAGCTCAGGTGGCCAGGGTCCCCTCCCGGCACCTGCCTCCTCTTCCACAGGCTCCCTCTTGGCGATCTAGACGGGGGTGCTGCCTGGAGGCCGGCCTACCTCACTAGTGACTCAGGAGTTTCGAAAACAGGAAGTAAGTGAGCTGTGCTGTAGGTTCTTCATTTGACTTCATTCTTTTCTTAGATGTGCCAGGAGAGAGAGGCCTGTGAAGCGGCTGCCGCTGTGAGGGTTCTGGGACTTGCCTCTGGTAAGGTTGGATGGGCTTTTAGAGAGGAAAGTTTTTGATTCTAGAATTTTCTAGGCTACTGAGGGTGGAATCTGGTGGCCTCGGGGCTCATGGGGTGATCCTTGTATATGAGTGTAGATGCGGAAACCAGGAGAGTTAGCAGTGCTTCCCAGGGCTGTAGTGAGGGCCCACGGGTCCCTCCAGCTTCAGTTGATGCATTCCTGATTTTGGGGGGGAATACTCCAAGTTCAGTTATCTGTACAGATGCCTCATCCTTATGCCGAGTTGTCAAAGAATAGAAACCAAAACTCAACTCTCAACAGTCTTTGCTGCTATAGTTTACCAATCTGCCGACACTCAGACCACCAGTATAAACACACACGTACACATAAACAGACACACACATAAACAGAAATAGTGCTAAGAACTCAATTATTTATTTATTTTTGAGAAATTAAAAGGGCACAGGACAGTACCAGGAATAATATAATGGCAAGCATCGACTGATAATCAGTACTTGTGGGGTTAAGCGTTTATAGGTGGAGTTATAAATTCCTTCAGTTTGGCTGGCTCTGAGTTTTGTCGTGATTTGAACACCTTTCCTGGGCTGTGTGATAGCCCTGGCTGGGACCCTGCAGCGGAGAGTGTTTGTGTGCAGGGGGGACACCTGGCAGGTTCTGGGGGAACCCCAATTGGGGGTGGTCATCCTGGACTGGAGGGAGTAGTCACCCTATTGCTTAGGGGTTTGGGCCTGAGAGCGGCTTTCCAGTACTCTCAAGCTTTGAACGAGGTAACGGATTTTTGTCTCAGAAGAGTAATGCAAATTTTGGGTTTATTTTCTCTAGCTTTGAGGTAGTTTTCCGTATCACCAAAAGAGCTAAGAGGTTGCTAGAATGTCGCTAGAAGGATTGTTTGTGATTAGATGAGATTTATTTGCAATTTAATTGTGGCACAAAAGGCAGTGCTTATTTGGGACTCTGGGGTGAGGTGCTGAGGTCTGAATCCGGGCTCCAGCATGTACCGGCTTGGTTTGTAAGGTTCTGACCCTCTCTTTGCTTTTGTAGATTTGTTAAGAACTCTTGTTTCTGTGTTTTGGGGGTTTCTTTAGTCTTTTAAAATTTTAAGTAATTCATAATCTTTAAAAATATTTTGATTATGTGTCTTTCTTCATTAAATTCCTTCACTGGCTTCCAACTGGAATCAGAATAAATTCTAAATCCTTGCAGGGTCTGTCATTGAGACCCTTGAGTGAGATGCTCAAACCTGGGCCTGACGCCTCTCAATAGCTTATTTCTGAACTGATTTTTCACAATAGTAAAATGAGGATGATAATAGCAACTTCTTCAGAGGATTGCAGTAAGTGAGACAAGAAAAATATTTTTATGTTTATATGGTTATATGTTATAAACGCATCATAATATAAAAATTTATATCAAAATACTTTGGGGCACACATTTATTATAAAAATATTAGATATACTTATATATCATAGAATACAAATATATTTATATTGATTTATCATTGTTATATAATTGGAAATAAAAGAAAAATTCTGGAGGGCTTTCCATTTCCACCCCTCTCTTCCACCTTGTATGCAATATAAACCAATATATTCAAATTTATCTTCAAATTTATATATTCAGCATATGTATATGCACACACATTATATATGTATATATATGTGAACATGTGAATAAAATGGGAAAAAACCCACCAAATTTGACCCCAAAATTACTTCTAAGTTTTTCTAAGTGATTTTTATTTTTCTTTTAAAAGTTCTCTAAGGAATAAATGTTACTTTTACTATTTTAGGATGAGAAAAATACAACAATGAATATTCTCCTTAAAATATTACTCTAACAAAGTTTCTAGCTCATGAGCACATGCAGTTAAACCCAGGGCCCATAAAAAAAGAAGTGCCTCTTGGTCCCTGTTCCTATAGAGCCAGAACCTAGAGGTGGCCCGTTGTTAATGGTATAAAATCTAGAGCAGGTAACAGTGCTTCCCAGGCACTACGATCAAAGAGATGTGTGACCTAAACAAACAAAGACAATATTATACCACAATGTGTTCTGGGAAAAGCTGGGTCAGAAAAGAAGCCTTGCCAGCACTTTCCCTACTAAGTGTCCATTTTAATATGATGCAAAAATAATTTAGAAAGCATTGTCAGGCTATTGCAAAGATAATGAAACGAGTGAGGTGAACTGGCCATAGAGGACAGGAGCCCATCATGTTATATCCAAATTCACGTCATCCTGGCCTTGGATTGGAATTTTTTGTATACTGTCAGAAAATGCTATTGAATATGTAACAAAAGCCTTAAAAATCTTTATTCCTTTTGTCTCAGTAATCCTATCTCTAGGAAATTATTCTAATAAAATAATCGGAGGTATACATGGAGATTTGCATTTTAAGATCATCCTAAATGTAATCAGAGACTGGTTAGATAAATTCTTGCCCATTCATATGATTAGATGCCTTATAGATTTAAAAATCCATGCTGTAGAAGAAAAAATAAAGACATCAAGATGCACTTATAGTATTATCAGTGGAAAAGTCCACGTATACCTCAGAAATATGGTGTTTAAATATGAGGGAAAATATATATGCGTAAAATATTCGGTAGGAAGGACAGTAAGATTATTAGGCGTTTATCTTTGTTTTTTATTTTACTTTAATTTTTTAAAAGTTGAAGTATAGTTGATTTACAATGTTGTGTTAATTTCTGCTATACAGCAAAGTGATTCAGTAATACATATATATACATTCTTTTTTTAATATTCTCTTCCATTATGGTTTGTCATAGGATATTGAATATAGGTCTCCATGCTATGCATAAACACTTACATCTGTTAACCCAACCTCTGACTACATCCCCGCCCCAACCCCCTCCCCCTCGGCAACCACAGGTCTGTTTCTGTTTCAGATAGATTCATTTATGTCATATTTTAGATTCCACATATAAGTGATATCGTATGGTATTTTTCGTCCTCTTTCTGACTTACTTCACTTAGTATGATAATCTCTAGTTGCATCCATGTTGCTGCAAATGGCGTTATTTCATTCTTTTTTATAGCTGAGTAATATTTCATTGTATATATGTACCACATCTTCTTTATCCATTTCTCTGTCAATGGATATTTAGGTTGCTTCCATGTCTTGGCTATTGTGAATAGTGCTGCTATGAACATAGGGGTGCAGGTATCTCTTTGGATTAGAGTTTTGTCTAGATATATGTCCAGGAGTGGGATTGCTGGATCATATGGTAATTCTATTTTTAGTTTTCTGAGGAACCTCCATACTGTTTTCCATAGTGACTTTACCAACTTACATTTCCACCAACAGTGTAGGAGGGTGCCCTTTTCTTCACACTCTTTCCAGCATTTGTTATTTGTAGAGTTTTTAATGATGGCCATTCTGATCAGTGTGAGGTGATACCTCACTGTAGTTTTTATTTGCATCTCTCTAATAATTAACGATGTTGAGCATCTTCAAATGTGACTATTGGCCATTTGTCTTTCTTCTTTGGAGAAACGTCTCTTTGGGTCTTCTGCCTATTTTTTGATTTGGTTGTTTTTTTGTTGTTGATTTTATGAGCTGTTTATATATTCTGGAAATTAAGCCCTTGTCAGTTGCATCATTTGCAAATATTTTCTCCCATTCTGTAGGTTGTCTTTTCATTTCGTTTTTGGTTTCCTTTGCTGTGCAAAAGCTTGTAAGTTTGATTAGGTCCCATTTGTTAATTTTTGTTTTTATTTCTATTGCCTTGGGAGACTGACCTAAGAAAATATTGGTATGATTTACATCAGAGAATGTTTTGATTAGGCATTTTATCTTTGGATGATAGAATTATAGGTAATTTTTATTCTCCTTTTTATCTTTCCTGTATTTTCTAAAAGGAATACAATAAGCATTGTTATCATTAGAAAGAAAATAATTGCAGAGGGGAAAAAAAGGAGATTCTGCTTTCATTTGATTCTTTGGTTGATTTTATTCTGTAAAATGATATTTTAGCAATGGTTAGAACTTATTGGAAGATTTAAGGACACTGGACCTAATGGTTTTAAACAGGGCTGGACCCAGTTCTGATCCTTTCCAGTTTCATATACTGGAATAAAAATAGTTATTTAAATAGAGATTTTAATTTAAGTACATGTATATTTAGGGTAATAAAATGGTAAAGATTTACACAGTGCAAAGAGTATAGAATGTAAAGCAAGTCTCTTCCTGTCCACCCCCCAGACTTCTAGCTCCTCTCCTCTCAGGCAACCACTGAAGCAGCTTCCTGTGTATTTTCTTCAAAGATCTGTGAATACAAAATCTAGGCACTTTATGAGTTTGGTATGTCTCTTTCCAGAATTTCCTTATCTTTTATTTTCTGCTTTAATATATATGTCTGTAATCACTGAAAATCTAATTATGTTGTTTGAGTTATTTCTAAAAAGTAGATGTATGATTTTGGTTATATTGCAACTTGCTATTTTCACTGTCATAATAACATATCTTGAATATCTATCCATTTTAATTTCAAAAGTTGGAGTGCATTTTCTTAACTGCTGCATAATATTCTGTAGGATGACTATGCTTTAGTTAATTTAGCCATTCCTTTATTGGAGGACATTTGGGATGTTTCTGGTTGTTCAGGTTTATATATCGGTCTGTGGTGAGACTCCATGTACAAACCCTGTTGAGCACGTGTGTGTCTATGGAGTGTGATTTAAGGAATAAACTTGCTAGTTTGTTCCCTTGAATGTCTAGAGGTTTTGTTTGTTGAACTTTGAACGTATGCTTTTAGGTGCAGCCCAAATATTTAAGGTATCTTTCCTATATAAAAGTATTTTCATGATAATTGATTGCTTTTGCAGTGAATAATCTAGGCTCTGCAGCCTTTGTGAATCCAGTGTAAAACAAGATGTATCTTTCTAAGACACTGTCCCTCCAGTTTCCTAATCAAGAAAACTTGTCTAAACAATAATGTCAGCTCTAGATTAAAAGGGAGAAAAAAAGTTTTGCCCATAATTCCAGTTCTAAGAAGGAAATAATCAGAGGTGTGCACAGGATATATGAAAACACCTCTCAGTGAAATATTATTTTTAATAGTAAAGGAACAGAAAATTGCTTAAAATGAATTTTGATATCTCCACATGCTGGAAATCAAGAAATATTAAAAATATGCCAAAGAAGAATATTTATGGTAAGGGTAAATGTTCATTCTAAATATTAAGTAGGTATAAAAAAAATACAGATGTACACGCTTGGATGTGCAACCTGATTCTAATTTTTATATAAATGTGTATTTGTGTGTATGTGATGTATGATAATGATAACCATGTTATAATTTATTGCATTTTCAATTTTTACCGGAAAAAAAACCACCCCAGTGTTCTGTAATCAGGATTGGGGGGAAGTAATCAGGATTGTTTTTTTAAAAAAATACTGTTTTATTTTATTTTAATTAATTAATTAATTATTTTTATTTTTTGCTGCATTGGGTCTTCGTTGCTGTGCATGGGCTTTCTCTAGTTGCAGCGAGTGAGGGCTACTCTTTGTTGCGGTGCGAGGGCTTCTCATTGTGGTGGCTTCTCTTGTTACAGAGCACGGGCTCTAGGTGCACGGGCTTCAGTAGTTGTGGCACGAGGGCTCAGTAGTTGTGGCTTATGGGCTCTAGAGTGCAGGTTCAGTAGTTGTGGTGCATGGGCTTAGTTGCTCTGCAGCATGTGATATCTTCCCGGACCAGGGCTCGAACCCGTGTCCCCTGTGTTGGCAGGCAGATTCTTAACTTCTGTGTCACCAGGGAAGTCCCAGGAAAGGTGTTTTTAAAAAGAAAAACTAAAAGCTTCAAAGTCTTTTGGGCCACTTTTAAAAAATATTAAAGTTTACCATAATGTTTGTATTTTAACATCAGAGATACAAAATACACAGGTCCTGGTTCACGCCATCACCCCTCAAGTGATAGTCAGGATTTGTGGTTTCATCCGAGAATGTCAGTGAATGCAGGGAGCTTAAAAATTTAGGAGCCTTGGGGCTTCCCTGGTGGCGCAGTGGTTGAGAGTCCACATGCCGATGCAGGGGACACGGGTTCATGCCCCGGTCCGGGAGGATCCCACATGCCGTGAAGTGGCTGGGCCCGTGAGCCATGGCCACTGAGCCTGCGCGTCCGGAGCCTGTGCTCCATAACAGGAGAGGCCACAACAGTGAGAGGCCCGCGTACCGCAAAAAAAAAAAAAAAAAAATTTAGGAGCCTTGTTTCAGGGAGGAAAGAGGTCCAAACAGGTTAAGGTTATTTGAGTAGAAAGTGCCCAGGGGCACAGAGTCTGTGGGAGCAAGCAAATGATGAAGCTGGACGAGAAGTTAAAGGTTTTCTAGTTCAGGGTTTGCAGATGGTAGCCCTGAAGTAAGGGAGCATCTGAGTAAGCCTTCAAGGAAGAGTTCTTCAACGTTGAAGAGGTGGAAAATCACTGCTTCCAGATGAATTTTCCAGGGAGGAAGTGGGAAAACCAGGAGGGTAAGAGAAGTGTTCAGGTCACATGCCCGGTGGTGTCCGGCCCCACAGCCAATGTCTTTCCTTCTTTCAGGTGAACTCGTCTTTGTTTGTTAGTTGCTGGTCGTTACTCTAAAAGCACGATAGGTGTTGTATACTCACAACACTTCAGGAGATATTGCTCTTTTGATCCCACCTTACCGAGGAGGAATCTCACCCTTGTAGGCTGTGAGCTGCCCAGGCCTGGGCCAGTGCCCCAGCTGGGTTCTGGTCCAAGTTCTTTCGGACCCCGCAGCCCCAGACTCTGAACCACCACACTGCCTGCCTCTCCGACAGTCAGCTGCAGGTGAGATTCCTGGCTTTGACAGTGGCCCTGTAGCCCGCCCTGGGGATCCAGGTCCCAGTTTCGTTCCTATGATGTACCCGATACAAACCCTGCTCCAAGGGCTCCTGTACCATGAACATGGGCCTATCAGAGCAGGGGAGGTGAGGGAGAAATTGGCCAAGGTGACTCAAGGGGCTCGAGAAACCCCAGACCTGGGGCTGCTTGTGTGAAGGTTGTCTGGGGTTTCCTGAAACACTGCCCTCTCTTTTTTTTTTTTTTTTTTTTTGCGGTACGCGGGCCTCTCACTGTTGTGGCCTCTCCCGTTATGGAGCACAGGCTCCGGACGCGCAGGCTCAGCGGCCATGGCTCACGGGCCCAGCCGCTCCGCGGCATGTGGGATCTTCGCAGACCGGGGCACGAACCCGTGTCCCCTGCATCCGCAGGCGGACTCTCAACCACTGTGCCACCAGGGAAGCCCCCCTCTTTTTTTTTTACCTGCTCAAACATGTAAGTATGTGAAAATACCCCATAATCTGATTTAGAGACTGTTTGTGTTGAAAGGCTGACCGAGTTCTCTTGGTTCCGTTTCCAGTCTTGGGGTCTTGACCAGCTGTGGGTGCCTGTCCTGAGGCCCTTGGGGGAGAGCACTGCATCATGTCCTCCTGCCACCATTGTTTCCATTAGACCACATGACTTCTCCCACCTCCAACCCTTCCAATCTGTCCTCCACACTTTATTTTATTTTTTTAATTTAATTTTTATTTTATATTGGAGTAGTTTCTGGTGTGAAGCAAAGTGATTCAGTTATACATCTACATATGTCCCCCACACTTTAAATGTTAATCCCTAATTGGATGACGTCACGCTCATGTTTACAATCCTTTCTTGGTTTCCCATTATATCCAGGAGAGAGCCTGACCCCGTTGACCCATCATATGAGGCCCTTTATAACAGTTCCCGGCCACAGCTCCATCCCTTTGTCTCACCACTCCCTCTCCCAGACCCTTCATGGTTACTTTATTGAGCTCCCTTTGCCTGCCTGAACTGACTTGAACATTCTTGCCTCCAACTTTTGCATAAATTATTTCCTTCAAAAATTGTCCTTCACCATCTCCTCCCCAGAGGTGACTTCCCTCCAGGAAGCCCTTCTCCCAGGCTGAGTTAAGGCTCTTTCCTCTATATTTCTACTGTGCCCTGGTCACAGCTCTCTGACCACTGGCTAGTTTGTAAATCTACCTTCCAAAAACAGTAAGCTACTTGAGAGTGGGAACCTGTTTGTTCGTTTTCTTGCCTGTATCCACAGCATAATGTCTGGCATATAGTAGATGTAATAGCATTTGATAGGAACAAATCAGTAAGTGGTAGTTTTCTTCCTCATCTGAACATAACATTGTATTTTAACCTAGGTAACAACTACATTCTCCTAACGCTTGATCAGCATGAATTTCAACAGATGTCTGTATAATATTGGGGAACAGCTGGGCAGTGAAGACCTGGCTGCCCTCAAGTTCCTGAGCCTGGACTACATTCCACATAGGAAGCAGGAACCCATCAAGGATGCCTTGGTGCTATTCCAGAGGCTCCAGGAAAAGAGAATGTTGGAGGAAAGCAACCTGTCCTTCTTGAAGGAGCTGCTTTTCCGAATAAATAGACGGGATCTGCTCACCTACCTGGACACCAGTGTGGAGGAGATGGAGAGGGAGCTTCAGATGCCGGGCAGGGCCCAGATCTCTGCCTATAGGTGGGGAGAACCTCCATGGTGTGGAGCTGGGACGTGTGGGTTGAACGGGCACATCTTTATGGGCAGGGCTGATGCTGTTTGTAGGTTGTCAGTATGGTGTGACTTTGGAGCCTTTGGGAAGATGTCCCACCACAGTCAGATTAAGAAATTTAGAGACTTTATGTAGAATTCAGAGAAAAATATGCTAAAACCATAAAATAAAATTTTCTTTCCAAGGTGAAACATTACCTATAGGTATGCCAAAATCCAAATAGACACTTTTTAAACGTTCTAACTCTCTCTCTCTCTGTTACGTATCTGTTATCTTGATGCCTCTGCCTCTGATGCCCATACCATGCACTTCTTTGCCTATTATTGAATAAAGCATCGCTACTTCCCACCTGAGACGCCCTCCCACCTACTTTTGGATGACTATGAAATTCTCAGTAGGGTTTTAGGCTTGTATTCCATACCTTAAGACTTTTGTTACCAAGTTCTTAAGTAAGCTGTGTGTTGCCAGTCATTCTGGATTGGCCAGGCCAGACCCCCGCAATGAGTGCTTTTTTTTTTTTAGGGTATAAGATAACCATTTTTAATCTATGCCTGGCCATCTGGAAACCCCCATTGTAATAACCGACCATTGTAAGGTTAAACAGCTTCCACAGTTTTACTTCATAAGCCATCCTGTAACGCTCAATGACTGCTTAATCCCTGTGACCCCAGATGCTGTCAGAACAGCAGTGGCTTGGGCTGTCTGTCCTGCCAAAGGCTTAACACAGTAGAGAAGTTAATTCCTTATAGTTCTGGAGGCTAGAGGCTAAAATTGAGGTGTCAACAGGATTGATTCCTTTTTAGAGGCTCTGAGGGAGAATCTGTTTCATGATCCTCTCCTAGCTTCAGGTAGTTGCAGGCAGTCCTTGGTGTTCCTTGTCTTACGGATGCATCACTTCAATCTCTGCCTCTTTCTTCACCTTGTCTTCTCCGCTGTGTATCTGTGTCTTAATTTCTCTCTTCTTTTAAAGACACCAACCATTGGATTAGGGCCACCCTAATCTAGTATGATCTTATCTTGGCAAGATTACATCCACAAAGACCGTTTTCCCAAGTAAAGTCACTTTTACACGTTCCAAGTGGATGTGAATTTGGAAGGAGAGTGGGGAAGGATACTATTCAATACTGGGTAACTTTGGCTCAATAGAATTGTGAAGTCCTTGTAATGAATTTTTTTTCATTAAGGGATCAATTAATCATAAAAACAACAGCCCCATAATTAGGAAAGCTAGAGGGCCTCATCTTGTGTCCCCTGTCTTGGTCTTTTGAAGGTTGCACTCCTGCCATGTGAGCAAAGCCAAGGCAACTTCCAGTGCAGACAATGACATGGGCCTCTCTGTTGGAGGGTTATGAGTGTCTAACAAGGGCAGGATCTGTCTGTTAAAATCTTCAACATGTTAACTTGGGAACAAAAGGGTCAGCACAAGTAAAATCTCCTGCTTGTTCATCATTGTTGAATATCAAGTAAGAAAAAAAAATGCTAGTGTGGCCACTTCCCATTTATAAGATATTTAAAATTTCAAATTATCATTGCTACCTATAAAATTAGTACCTTATAAACTATCCAGATTTATTTCTGGACAATGATGGTACAAGAAAGCCAGTAGGTTTCAGTAATGAGGAACGTAGAAGGGCAAAATACCTTGTGATAAAGTTAAAAGGGGAGGTAGCTTTTGATTGGACCCAATCTTGGTCAAACTGAGACAGTTTTAGAGAAATACTTCTAGGGTAGAGATTCCATGAGAAGAAGGATGAAGCAGGTGATAATACTGAGTAACTTCTGTTTCTACACTACAGTTGATCATTGAACAACATGGGGGTTAGGGATGTGGACCCTCTGCACAAAAATCCACTTATAACTTACAGTCGATCCTCCATATCTTAGGTTCCACATTTGTGGGTTCGACCAACCGCAGACTGTGTAGTACTGTATTATGTATTTATTTATTTTTGCGGTACGCGGGCCTCTCACTGTTGTGGCCTCTCCCATTGTGGAGCACAGGCTCCGGATGCGCAGGCTTAGTGGCCATGGCTCACGGACCCAGCCACTCCGCAGCATGTGGGATCTTCCCGGATTGGGGCACGAACCCGTGTCCCCTGCATCGGCAGGTGGACTCTCAACCACTGCGCCACCAGGGAAGCCCTGTATTACGTATTTATTGAAAAAAATCTGTACATAAGTGGACCCGCGCACTTCAAACCTGTGTTGCTCAAGGGTCAACCATGTTTTTATTTTTAGAATTTTAATTTTCTAATTTACTTTTGAAGTTAACATGTTTTTGTATTAAAGTTATTTTCCTTTGCACCATCATAGTAAAAGGTTTGCCGACTTATAAAACTTTCCTTTGTTCATTCAACAAGCATATCGCAAGAGCCTATCATAATTTAGGAAATAATAATGCCTGTCATGTTTGAACACTTAGTGTGTTGCCAAAGGTTGGTTTAAGTGCTTCAGGTAAACTTATTCATGTAATCCTCAACACCTCCCAGAGGGGTAAATAGAGTATTATCTACAATCTACAGATGAGGGGGAAAGATTGTGTAACATGTCTAAAGCCACACAGCTCATGGATGGTGGATCCAAGGTTCCAACACCAGGAGTCTGGGTCCCCTGCACTTAAGCACTATATCTCATGACCCTCTAGGCTTATGGAAACCAAAAGGGCACTGATCCCATTCTCAGGGAACTTGGACAGCTTCATAAACAGACAATTATGTGTGTTACTCTTCTGGCGATGCACAGGCAGGTACAGCGGGGTGAATACAGCCTTGAGGACAGTCAGGCAGTGCTTGAGCTGTTAGTGGATGAGTGGTTGTCTGCAGACGGACAAGGGGATAGGGGTGGGAGGAGGCCCAGCATAACAGGGTGAGGGGCAGGGCAGCTGGGTGTGTTTGGAGAGGAGATGGGGAGACAGCAGTAAGGAGCATCCAGAGATGAGGAGACAGGCTGGGCTCAGTTCACAAAAACCTGTACTCCAGAAGGAGGTGTTTGGCCTTCCTACTGAAGGTAGCGGCTGGGAGAAGCCTGTACTCCAGAAGGAGGTGTTTGGCCTTCCTACTGAAGGTAGCGCCTGGGAGAACATTGACTAGTTTTAATTGAGGAATTCCATCTGATTTGCATTTTGAAAAGCATGATATCCAAAATCAAAGCTTTTTTTCTATTGCAACAAGATCTTGATTTTATAGCGAAGGACAAAGGAAAAACACAATTCATTTAACTGGAATTAACTGAAAGTCAAAGTTGGAGAACTTTAAATTCTGTTAAGAGTGAGATAGTTGGGCATGAGCCATTTGTCTTCAGTGTCACTACACCAGCCTCTTTCCAAAGACTCAACTCATAAATCATGTCATTATCTGGCTTTATTTTAAAGGGAGGCCATAGGAATCAAGTCCACTGTGACTCGGATGGGAAATCGGTTGGGAAATCATTTAAGAAAATATTTCTAAAGTGTTTCTGTTTCCCACTTCAGGGTCATGCTTTTTCAGATTTCAGAAGATATGACCAAACAGGAATCGAAGGACTTCAAGTTTTTTTTGAGGCAGGAGATCGCCAGATATAAGCTGGATGATGACATGGTAAGACCTGGTGTCTGACCGAGGTTTAGTCCTGAGGGTGAGTCAGCCAGTGGGGATTTCTGAGACTAAAGAGAGCGCTTGTCAGTAAAAGCAACATGAATTCTCACTTTTTAACTGGGGGGAAGAAGAATGCTGTCAGGCATAAGTGCTGTAGATATGATGCCTCTGTATACTGTGAAGTGCTGCTCACATTAATTACCAGGAACAAGGCAGAGTGAGGAGCAAGGGGAGAAGGCTGGTGTGGAGGCACAGGCAATGTGGCGACCTTGCAGAGCCAGGAGAGACGGTGGTGGGCCTGAGATCGTTTCCCCACTTCTGCAGTCTCTGAAACAACCTGGGACCTGGAACTCTGTGTGTGTGTGTGTGTGTGTGTGTGTGTGTTGTGATGTAATGTTGTATGTGTGTGTGCTTGTCTGTGTGTGTATGTGTTATGGGGACACTCAGCCTGGAGATGATCAGGTGGCAGAGGCAATGGAGGGTGTGAGGCAGTCCCCAGGGCTGTTGCCATAGGGACCAGGCTGTCACATCTCAGCCATGCACTCAGGCTGCTTCACTGTCTTCACATAAAGGTGTCCACAGGCAGTTTCAGCACAGGGCCTGGGCCTGGGGACTAGGTGACATCTGATGTGACTTCTCCTGTGTCTTCTTATTTCTATCTTTCTGGGCCAGAAATCATGAATTGCCTCCCTAATAATCTACTGATTGGCTTTATAAGGCCAGGATGTCCTCTCAGGAGGGTTGGCTTGGGAAGCTAGGGTGGGTGCTTAGTTTGGAGAGAGTGGAAGCAAAACAAAAAGTTAATCTAAAAGCCAATATGGCTCCATCTAATCTTCCAACTTGATTTCTCCTCCCTCTAGACCTTGCTTGATATTTTCATAGAGATGGAGAAGAGGGTCATGCTAGGGGAAAGAAACTTGGACACCCTGAAAAGAATCTGTGAGCAAATCAACAAGAGCTTGCTGAAGAAAATCAACGATTATGAAGAACTAAGCAGAGGTATAAATAACCTGAGAGCTGTGGATCAGCAAAATGTAGTCTTAAATGGACAGACTCCTCTATGTCACAGCAGTTTCTAATCAAATATGTGTGTTTCTTTTTAAATTCAGAGCAAGGAATGAGCCTTGGAAGAGGTCCAGATGAATTTTCAAACGGTAATACTTGCAGATATGTTTTCGAGGTTTATTTAGTTAATTTACTTCCTGATAGCCTCATTGCCTCCTCTCCACAACCTTCTACCACATCCGCATTTTGTTTTTAATAGGGGTAGAGTTGTTTTACAATGTTGTGTTAGTTTCAGTGAATTGAAGTAGAGTTCCCCGTGCTATAGAGCAGGTTCTCATTAGTTATCTATTTCCTACCTATTAGTATATATATGTCAGTCCCAATCTCCCAATTCTTTCCACCCCCCGTTTTCCCCCTTGGTGTCCATATGTTTGTTCTCTATGTCTGTGTCTCTACTTCTGCCTTGCAAACCAATTCATCTGTATCATTTTTTCTAGATTCCACATATGTGTGTTAAATATATGATATTTGTTTTTCTCTTTCTGACTTACTTCACTCTGTATGACAGTCTCTAGGTCCATCCACGTCTCTGCAAATGACCCAATTTCATTCCTTTTTGTAGGCTGAGTAATATTCCATTGTATATATGTACCACTTCTTCTTTATCCATTTGTCTGTTGATGGGCATTGACATTGCTTCCATGACCTGGCTATCGTAAATAGTGCTGCAATGAATATCAAGGTGCATGTGTCTTTTTTTAAAATAAAATTTATTTATTTATTTTTGGCTGTGTTGGGTCTTTGTTGCTACACATGGGCTTTCTCTATCTGTGGCGAGTAGGGGCTACTCTTCTATTTCATTTGTTTCTGCTCTAATCTTTATAATTTCTTTCCTTCTACTAATTTTGGGTTTTTTTTTTTTTTGTTGTTGTTGTTCTTCTTTCTCTAGTTCCTTTAGGTGTAAGGTTAGATTGTTTATTTGAGATTTCTCTTGTTTCTTGAGGTAGGATTGTATTGCTATAAAGTTCCCTCTTAGAACTACTTTTGCTGCATCCCATGGGTTTTGGGCCGTCGTGTTTTTTTGTCATTTATCTCTAGGTATTTTTTAATTTCCTCTTTGATTTCTTCAGTGATCTCTTGGTTATTTAGTAGCATATTGTTTAGCCTCCATGTGTTTGTGTTTTTTATAGGTTTTTTCCTCTAATTGATTTCTAATTTCATAGCATTGTGATTGGAAAACATGCTTGATATGATTTCAATTTTCTTAAACTTACCAAGGCTTGATTTGTGACCCAAGATATGATCTATCCTGGAGAATGTTCCATGTGCACTTGAGAAGAAAGTGTAATCTGCTGTTTTCGGATGGAATGTCCTGTAAATATCAATTAAATCTATCTGGTCTATTTTGTCATTTAAAGCTTGTGTTTCCTTATTTATTTTCTGTCTGGATGATCTGTTAAGTGAGGTGTTAAAGTCCCCCACCTTTATTGTGTTACTGTTGATTTCCCCTTTTTATAGCTGTTAGCATTTGCCTTATGTATTGAGGTGCTCCTATCTTGGGTGCATATATATTTATAATTGTTATATCTTCTTCCTGGATTGATCCCTTGATCACTATGTAGTTTCCTTCTTTGTGTCTTGTAACATTCTTTATTTTAAAGTCTATTTTATCTGTTATGAGTATTGCTACCCCAGCTTTCTTTTGATTTCCATTTGCATGGAATATCTTTTTCTATCACTTCACTTTCTGTATGTGTCCCTAAGTCTGAAGTGGGTCTCTAGTAGACAGCATATATACAGGTCTTGTTTTTGTATCCATTCAGTGAGTCTGTGTCTTTTGGTTGGAACATTTAATCCATTCACATTTAAGGTAATTATGAATATGTACGTCCCTATTACCGTTTTCTTAATTGTTTTGAGTTTGTTTTTGTAGGTCTTTTTCTTCTCGTGTTTCCCGCGTAGAGAAGTTCCTTTGGTATTTGTTGTAGAGCTGGTTTTGTTGTACTAAATTCTCTTACATTTTGCTTGTCTGTAAATCTTTTGATTTTTCCATCAATTCTGAATGAGATCCTTGCTGGGTAGAGTAATCTTAGCTGTAGCTTTTTCCCTTTCATCACTTTAAATATATTCGGCCCTTCCCTGTTGCCTGTGGAGTTTCTGCTGAAAAATCAGCTCATAACCTTACAGGGATTCCCTTGTATGTTATTTGTTGCTCTTCCCTTGCTGCTTTTAATATTTTTTCTTTTTTTTAAAGATTTTTTATTTATTTATTTATTTTTATTTTTGGCTGTGTTGGCTCTTAGTTGTGGCACACAGGATCTTCATTGAGGCATGCAGAATCTTTCACTGCAGCGTGCAGATTCTCGTTGTGGTGTGTGGGCTTCTGTGTAGTTGTGGTGTGTGGGTTTTCTCTCTCTAGCTGTAGTGCACAGGCTCCAGGGTGCATGGGCTCTGTAGTTGTGGCATGCAGGTTCCAGAGCACACGGGCTCTGTAATTTGTGGCACACGGGCTCTAGTTGAGGCATGTGAACTCAGTAGTTGTGGCACATGGGCTTAGTTGCCTTGCGGCATGTGGGATCTTAGTTCCATGACCAAGGATCGAACCCATGTCCCCTGCATTGTAAGGCAGATTCTTTACCGCTGGACCACAAGGGAAGTTGCTAGTATTTTTTCTTTGTATTTAATTTTTGATAGTTTGATTAATATGTGTCTTGGTGTGTTTCTCTTTGGGTTTATCTTGTATGGGACTCTCTGTGCTTCCTGGGCTCGATTGACTATTTCCTTTCCCATATTAGGGAAGTTTTCAACTATAATCTCTTCAAATGTTTTCTCAGGCCCTTTCTCTTTCTCTTCTTCTTCTGGGACCCCTATAATTCGAATGTTGGCGCGTTTAATGTTGTCCCAGTGGTCTCTGAGACTGTCCTCAATTCTTTTCATTCTTTTTTGTTTATTCTGCTCTGCAGCAGTTATTTCCACCATTCTATCTTCCAGCTCACTTCTCCATTCTTCTGCCTCAGTTATTCTATTGATTCCTTCTAGAGTATTTTTAATTTCAGTTATTGTGTTGTTCATCGCTGTTTGTTTGCTCTTTAGTTCTTCTAGGTCCTTGTTAAACATTTCTTGTATTCTCTCCATTCTATTGCCAAGATTTTGGATCATCTTTACTATCATTACTCTGAATTCTTTTTCAGGTAGACTTCCTATTTCCTCTTCATTTGTTTGGTCTTGTGGGTTTTTACCTTGCTCCTTCATCTGCAGCATATTTCTCTGTGTTCTCATTTTGTTTAACTTACTGTGTTTGGGGTCTCCTTTCTGCAGGCTGCAGGGTCATAGTTCCTCTTACTTCTGGCGTCTGCCCCCAGTGGGTGGGGTTGGTCCAGTGCCTTGTGTAGGCTTCCTGGTGGGGGGACTGGTGCCTGCATTCTGGTGGGTGGAGCTGGATCTTGTTCCTCTGGTGGGCAGGGCCGCCTCCAGTGGTGTGTTTTGGGGTGTCTGTGAGCGTAGTATGACTTTAGTCAGCCTGTCTGACTAAAGGCTGGGGTTTAGACTAATGGGTGGGGTTGCATTCCTGTCTTGCTAGTTGTTTGTTGTGAGGCATCCAGCACTGGAGCTTGCTGGCCCTTGGGTGGAGCTGGGTCTTACTGTTGAGATGGAGACCTCTGGGAGAACTCTCGCTGATTAATATTCCCTGGGGCAGGAGTTCTCTGGTGGTCCAACATCCTGGACTCAGCTCTCCCACCTCAGAGGCTCAGGCCCAACACCTGGCTGGAGCATCAAGACCCTGCAAGCCACATGGTGTGGAAGAAAAGAAAAAAAAAAAAAGAACAGACAAACAAAACCCCAAGTTGAATGGTAAAAGCAAAACAAAAAACCAATCAAAAGCAGAAAGCAATCTAAAAAAAGGCAAAGAAAGCATAAAACACACAAAAGAGATAAAAAAAACATAAAAACATAAGAAAGGTGAAAACAAAAGGAAAAAATACAAAACAACAAAAAAGTAAAAATTGAAAAATATAAAATATAGTTAAAAAGAAGATAAAAACAAAGGAAAAAAGAAAAACAAGGAAAAAGCACGATATAATGACAAAGTAAAGTAGAAAGAGGAAAAAAAATAGAGTAAAAAATATATTACAAATAAAAGTATAAAAAGAAAAGAAAAAGTACATAAAAATTAAAAGAATAATAAAAAACAATAGAACAAAGTGAAAAAAATAATAGTAATATTGATATTTTCCTGTGGCCTCACCTGTCAGTGTCCTTGCTCCCACAGTGAAGTGCAGCCAATCCCTGCCTGCCTGGGAAGTCCTCCAGTACTTCTAGGTGGGTCTCTGGACCTGCTGTGGGCTATGTAGGGCCAGCTCAGACTCTGACCTGGCCCAACTCTGGCGTGTACTTGCCCCCAAAGTCCACAGTTGCCCCCAAAGTCCACAGTTGCCCCCAAAGTCCACAGCCTCAATTGCAGGAACACTCATTGTCTATTCAGATATTCCACAGATGCAGGGTTTACCAAGCTGATTGCAGGGATTTAACCCTCTGCTCCTGTGGCTGCACAGAGAGATTTCCCTTTCTCTTCTTTGGTCCCACTGCCCCTGGAGTTCAACTTTGGTTTTGGTGCCGTCTGTGCATGTGGGCCACCCTCAGGCATCTGTTCCCCACCCAGGCAAGAGGGGGCAAAAGCAGCGGCTGATTAGGGCTCACTTGCTCACTCAGGCTGGGGAGAGGGAGGGCTACAGCAGTCACAATTGTGACCACTTCTCCATCTTTTTTTTTCATTTTGTTTTATTTATTTATTTATTTATTGGAGTATAGTTGTTTTACAATGTTGTGTTAGCTTCTACTGTACAATGAAGTGGAGTTCCCTGTGCTATATAGCAGGTTCTCATTAGTTTTCTATTTTCTACATATTAGTGTATATTTGTCAATCCCAATCTCCCAATTCATCCCACCCCCACTTTCCCTGCTTGGTGTCCATACGTTTGCTCTCTACGTCTAAGTCTCTATTTCTGCCTTGCAAACTGGTTCATCTGTACCATTTTTGTAGATTCCACATATATGCGTTAATATACAATATTTATTTTTCTCTTTCTGACTTACTTCACTCTGTATGCAGATGACATTTGCATGTTAATGGACCTGTTCTCCTAATAGCACTGGCTACTTTTCACCTTCTCTGCACATTGGAAGATATAAAAGGCACTGTCAAAAGACAAAGACCCTGCAGCCCCAGGCCAGCATGTTTGAAATAGGGGCAGAGTTAGTTAGTGATAAGATTTTCCCTTATTCTGTGAACTGCAAGGATATTATGTTCAAGGTGGTCTGTGAATTTTCTTTTTTTTTCTTTATTTTATTTTTTTAACAAATCCTGACATTATTTTTTAAAAAATTATTCTATTTATTTTTAAATTAAAAAAATTTTTGGCTGCATTGGGTCTTCTTTTCTGTGCATGGGCTTTCTCTAGTTGCAGCAAGTGGGGGCTACTCTTCGTTGTGGTGTGTGGGCTTCTCACTGTGGTGGCTTCTCTTGTTGCAGAGCATGGGCTCTAGGCATGCGGGCTTCAGTAGTTGTGGCACACAGGCTTAGTTGCTCCACGGCATGTGGGATCTTCTCAGACCAAGACTCGAACCCATGTCCCTTGCATTGGCAGGAGGATCCTTAACCACTTAGCCACCAGGGAAGTCCTGTGAATTTTCATTTTAAAAGGGACTTTATGTTGTCCTGGGTGCTACATCTTTCCTCACCAAAGCACCTTCCCTGCCTGTGTCATTCCAGATATGTCACAATTGTTCATAAGTAGGGACTCCTTTGAAATGCTGGCCATGTCGGACTCTCCAGGAGAAAAGGACAGTGAGTCACAGGTACGGGGAAATTCCCATTCCTTTTCTCCTTTGTGCTGCAGATTCTAGTTATTGTGTTCCTGAGGTTTTTTTTAGCTTCCAGATAAACTAATAAGGGACAGAAACTTATTGAAAATGTTGAGAACTGTAGAAAAAAATTCACAAAAGCACAAGTTTAAAATGTGACTTTTAAACTTTGAATTTTGAAAAGGTTTCCCATGTGTTAAATTTCTATTTTAAAAGCGAAGATGTTGGAATAGTTGGAGAGTAGAGGGGTGGGGAGCCTCCAACCTGATCCTTTCAGCAGCTGCATCAGCCTAAATGGGAGAGGGCTTTGGGAGAAGAGTCAGCAGGATTAGAAAAAGCAAAGTCTTCTTTTAGCTCGGCATTTCAAAACAGTTTCTCCTTTGCGATTAGGGGTAAGCAGCACATGCTAACGATCTAGTTGTCTCTATGATCTCATCCCAATGAGCTGGCCCAAGAATTGCCTTTCTAGATATCACTTCTGTTTCTGTAACTTTCAGCAATTTACCACATTGTGGCTCAGCAGCCCATTCACTCTTCCTTGTGGTGGGAAACAGAGGAAACCCTGTATGCCTAACGTCTAGTGGGAGACTTGAAATTAAGCTTAGGAGAGACCGTTTGTTAGTGGATTCCTGAGCAAGTTACCAGACCTCTCTCAGTCTGAACATCAAGGATTAACTGAAGTCATGTGGCGCTTTGTAAACAGTAAAAGCACTCTGCATGCTTTTATCCCCACCCGTCAGCTAATGACACTGAGTGCAAGAGAGATTCGTTAACTTGTCCAAAGTCTTCAGGTTATTAAGTAGTAGAGCCAGGAATTTGGCCCCCTAGTCTGGGGCCCTTTTCTCCACCTTGAGGAACTGCATGGATTTTCCAATCAATGCTAAATATCTCAGCACTGAAACAACCCCAGGGAAGTCAGGAGGTCACAGGGTCACCTCTGATTGATACTGTCAAGTAGTAGAGTCTGGATACTGTAACCTGTAGCACAGCCAAGACCTGCCTGCCTAGCACATCTGTCTCCTCGAGTCACTTTGGTCCTGAGATCCAGATTAAGTCATCAGCTTGAAAAATCCTGGGACCATGCTATGCTGTGTGATGGGCAGGCCCTCACCTGTTAGCCCAGAAGCATGGATGAGTTGAGCAGAGAGCTGAGGGAATCACAAGGTCTCAAAGGGGCAGCCCAGAGACAGCACCAAGACAGTCATTCATCCAGGAACTCCTGATTGAGCTCTCACAAATTAATAATAATCCTAGTCCCTGGCACAGATGTTCACTGCCTTGAGCAGAAATGAGAATAAATAATACCAGTACAATGTGGTGACAACACTATTAATATAAGTGCAAATGCTCAGGACGCCCAAGTATTGGGACACTGACTTTCCACACTAACTGTGGGGAAGAAGTCTGCGATCCTTGTCGGGGATGAGTGGAAACTAGTTCCTTAGGGGAGCAGTGCCAAGTTGGGGTGGGGCTATGGAAAGTGCACTTGCATCCCAGTTTGGCTTAGGTGACGCCTAACCTCTTACTAGGGAGTTGTTTGTTCACGTCTCAAGTGTTTGATCCACAGAGTCAGCTCCTGGGCTGGATTTTTGTTTTCCAGACATCGAACACAGTTTACCGAATGAAAAGCAAACCTCGGGGATACTGTTTGATCTTTAACAATTATGATTTTAGCATAGCAAGGAAGAATGTGCCCAAACTTCACAGCATGAAGGATAGGAATGGAACAAACTTGGATGCAGGTACAGTAGAACCCAAAAGAGAAATGAAATATTTCTGATATCTATGTTTTTGTCAGAAGGGGAGAACAAAAGCTGTATCAACAGGGCCACATGTTTCAAAAAGATGGTTATAACCGTATTTCCCTGTGGAGGTGAACAACATTCTTACATACTTGTTAGTTTTCTGCTTTTGTTTTTTTTAATTAATTTTAAAAATCAAAGCAATGTATATATAAAGATAAAATATCAAATCTTACTAAAAAGCTTATAAAAAGCAACAATAAACTTTGTTTTTAATTCCACTAGATGAATAGAGCCTCTATAGAGTGTATTAGGTGTTGGGTGGAAAACATTGCTTTGGTATCAAGACCATTTACGGAAGTTGTGTTTATAAAAGTTGGGCTGTGAGTACAGCAGAAATTGAGTCCTTAACAGAAATAGCATTTTCAAATGTTAAACTAAACAGAAAGTCTTTGGCTCAGCCTTTTTCGGCTAAGATTGAGAGCTTACAAGTTAAATGAAAAATAATTTGCATCATGTGAACATAGAAATGGCTACAACTAAAAGCAATAAAAGAAAGAATTCAACCCAACCATTGTGATATTAAGAATTTTTACTTGATCAAAGAATTTTTGAAAATGGTGTTTATGAGTCATAACATCAGGTAATTACTTATTTTTTAAATAAAGTAGTTTAGAAAATAAGATAGGTTGATTTTAATCATCAGGACTCTGTGAATGGTTTCTGTTAACATTTGTTTATTCAAGCAAATCTATTCTAAGTTTTTAAAAAGCCACAGAACTTAAGTTCACTGACTACATCACTCATCATCGTATATCTTGGTATTGAAGAAAAGGTTTCAGGCTTTCGATTTTCATTTACTTAATATTTACCATGAAAACATTTTTTATTAAAATGGCCTTGATTGTATTTCTGATCAAGGGTATAAAGTAGCAATATGTAGGATGAATAAGTTTAGCAATCTACTGTACAGCATGATGGCAATAGTTGATAATGCTGTATTGAACATGAGAAGTATGCAAAGAGACTATATTCCAGGTGTTCTCATCACACACACACACACACACACACACACACACACACACACACACACACATGCAAACAAAAGGTAACTGAGTGAGGAGATAAATTATTAGCTTAACTGTAGTAATCATTTCACTATTCATATCATTATGTTGTACACCTTAAATATATGCTATTTTTATCTAAAATAATCAGACAGGCAGCCTGAAAAATGTTGAAAGACTTTGACTAGATCAATTAGAGCATTTGGGGGAAACTAATGTTAAGCATGTAGAAAACAAAGCAGTGAAAAAATAATGCTATTGCTAATTCCAGGAAAGACAAAAAGCTTAATAAGAAAGGAAGCATAATTAAAGAATATTATGTTTACATAGTATTAGTAATACATATATTTCTGTTGCTTCAACTAAACCTTGTAAATGTATAAGAGCACCAAGCACTCATCACCCACAATAGGAACTCAATACAAAAGTCTAAAATTTATAAACGAATAAATAGAAATGAGCCCAAATTCATTACAAAATGGAGGCTAATACCAAAAAAAAAAAAAATAGCTAAAAGTTGAAAGTGGCTTCCTTCATAGAAATGGCTGGACAGAACATGACTGGGTAAAAGGAAGGAGTAGAGGGGGGTAGCTTTTTTGTAAAGCTTTTTTTGTAGCTTTTTAGTTCTACTTGACTTTTAAAACATTCATATCTCGTATTTTGATGAACAATTTTGAGAGGGTTCAGGATAAAATAAGTATGGATCTTTTATTAAAAATTTGTTTTTGCTTTTTTTCTGATTATGTAAGTATTAGTTACTTTTTAGATTGGTTAGGTAGTAAGCCTAAATAATAGCTTGTAGACTAGTTGAGAAAAGACAACAGGCCAACAATAGCAGTCTCCCCTTTCTCTTTTGCCTCAGGGCTGGGAAATATTTTCAGCTAGTGGCAGTAAACATTAGAAGTCTATGGAATCCAGCCACTAATATAGAGGGTCTTGTTTTTAAGTTCTGGTTCAGATTCTTATCTGATCAATGTTCTCTCTAGTCCTGGGTTGTGGTCTGGGAATTCTTGCGGTGTAATATGACTTTTCTTGTTTCACTTTTCAGAGGCTTTGAGAAAGACCTTTAGTGAGCTTCATTTTGAGATAGTGAATTACGAAGACTACACTGCGAAGAAAATCTGTGAGGTTCTGAAATCCTACCAAAGCATGGACCACAATGACAAGGACTGCTTCATCTGCTGCATCCTCTCCCATGGAGACAAAGGCATCATCTATGGCTCCGATGGGCAGGAAGCCCCCATCTATGAGCTGACCTCTTACTTCACTGGTTCAAAGTGCCCTTCCCTTCTTGGCAAACCCAAAATCTTTTTTATTCAGGCTTGTCAAGGGTATAACTACCAGAGAGGTATAGCTGTTGAAACTGACTCAGAACAGAAGGAAACCTATTTAGAAATGGATTCATCACTTCAGAAGAGATATATCCCAGATGAGGCTGACTTTCTGCTGGGGATGGCCACCGTGGACAACTGTGTTTCCTACCGAAGCCCCATGGAGGGGACCTGGTATATCCAGTCACTTTGCCAGAGCCTGAGAGAAAGATGTCCTAGGTAATTTTTGCTTATTCAACACTTCATTCATCTTTAAATGTCTAGCTGTGGATCATATAACTGTAATTCTCAGGTCAGTTGCAGAGTGGGAAAGAGGGCAAGTTTACTGATGGAAAAAACTGAAATACTTACTGAGGAGTTTCTTTTATTTAGCACCTCAAAGGACAATCAGCATATCGTAGAGTGGGAAAGATGGCAAAGTCATATAGTTTATCTCTGTCTTTAGGCAGAAATATGACTGAACCCACTCAACTAGTTTGGAATTTCCATGTTTAACATCCTCCAACCCTGTCAAAAGTTCTATAATAGCTGACCAACCTCGGACCCTCTTGTGGGTGATAAGTGCTAAAGATCAGAAACTTTTTCTATTCCCACAAATTTGCTTTGAAGCCCACAAAATGTGGGAAAATAACTTTCCCTCATTTATTATCTTATGTTTCCTTTATTTAAATGATGGTTTTGTACGGCACAGTTCACCAAATGCACACACAACCAGCAGATAAATAGCAAGGAATCCTCTGTAGGTTGCTTCTAGTTCTGTGTCTCATTATGTTTTAAGTGTATGAAGAGCAAGAATTTCCCATGGCAGATGAAGGACTGAACCATAACACCCACACTACATTTTCATTTTGTAACTTAGACCACGAATCCTGCGAGGTTCCAAGGGGTTAGCTACAGAAGTGAATAAACAGGTTGCCCAACTAAACTGATAAGAGAAGCTGGTGAGAAAGCAGTGGGGTGGCTGCAGGAGACTTTCAATTTCCACTTGCCTAAAGTTTGATGCGGCCACAGATAAATCCACAGAAGCAATGCCAATTTGAGGCAGAGGATGTTGGGGGGGGGGCGTTGAGGCGATTGGGGGTAAGTGACACATACATGGAGCAGAGTGAGGTGCAAATAGGTCAGGAGGCAAAGAAACCAAATCTGATGTTGACAGTGAAGTTTGTGATGGTCATAAGATATTAAGCTCTGAGACAACTTCTTTACCTAGAAAGCTGTGGTTTAACATCTTGTTATTTCAAATGCCTGTTGTTTTGAGGGACATAACTGTCACTAATCACAGCAGATGATAGGGTTTACCAGTTGATTTTTCCCCCCATAGATGGTCACAAGGTTATGTTATGTTTTTCAGGGGTGAAGATATTCTCACCATCCTTACCAAGGTGAACTTTGAAGTAAGCAATAAGGATGACAAGAAAAATATGGGCAAACAGATGCCACAACCTACTTTCACACTGAGGAAAAAACTCTTCTTTCCCCTTAATTGATGCTATTGTTTAGTTGCATAACTAAACAGTAATTAAAATGCTGCTATTTTATTCTTTCTTTCTTTCTTTTTTTTTCTTGATAGCTGGAAGTCAAGAGAATGGGAATCAGGACAATATAATTTTCATGCAAATTCAATCTAAATCTCTGGCTTTGCAATAGCTAGACAGTCATAGCTGTAGGCATGATTTTAATTGTATCTTTAATTTGATGAGAAGGTTTAAAAATGAACTTGTAGTAGATACAAAAAGTATAGTAAGTTTAAAAGAAATGTCAAAGATCACTGAGGGGGATATTTGTGATCTGATCTGGCTAAAAAAAACCCTCATGTGTTGAGGTTGAGGGTATAATGCTCCCACATCCAGCCTGATTGCTGGTGGTGAGTGTGACAAACTATCCCAGAAACATGTGAGCTTCTTCTCCTGCACCATGAGCTGACTTTGCTTTTCAGTGGTGAAAGACACCACTGTTTAGACTTAGATTTCAAAAACCTAAGCATGATTTTCCTTGTTTTTATTACTCATAAGTACAGTATTCAGCTCACTTTTAAGAGGAATGATGTTAATTGGATATTGGGCTTCCCTGGTGGCGCAGTGGTTGAGAATCTGCCTGCCAATGCAAGGGACACGGGTTCGAACCCTGGTCTGGGAAGATCCCAAATGCCGCGGAGCAACTAGGCCCGTGAGCCACAACTACTGAGCCTGCGCGTCTGGAGCTTGTGCTCCACAACAAGAGAGGCCGCAACCATGAGAGGCCCGCGCACCGCAATGAAGAATGGCCCCTGCTTGCTGCAACTAGAGAAAGCCCTTGCACAGAAACGAAGACCCAACACAGCCAAAAATAAAGAAAGAAAGAAAGAAGAAAGAAAGAAAGAAAGAAAGAAGCTTTCATTAAAAAAAAATTAATAAACAGAAACCTCTGTTAAATAGAGTAGGGAAACCAGAAGTTTATTTTGGATCTGTTGCTTATTATTTTGTCCATTCCCTCTGCTGAAGCAATCACCATGTTTTTTTGATACCCTTACCTTAAAATACAGCTCTTGGCTCATGTGACTTTTCTAGCAATAAAATTTATTATTCTTTATTCAATAAAATTTATTCAATAAAATGTATACTTAGCCCTGGGGCAGAGCTAGGCTTAAGTGTATTTGGGGGACAGGGGAACCTGCCAGCAGAGCCCCAGTACTAAACAGGGGGAAGGACGGGTGTAGGTCTTACACAAAGTTCTTCTTCAGCATCGTGGTGCTAGGGGTGGATAGGGAGGCAACCCCCGGGCTCACAAGATAAGTCTGGACTGAGCTACACTATGAGCAGCTAAATTCTGGTCTTCCAAAACTGCTCGTAGCATCTTAGCATAGACTCTGGCAACATGGGATGAGCGTAGTACGAGTAGCTGGGAGTCCGGGTGATGACGTGGGCTATGCTACACCAAGATTCCAGGTAAAGACTCAGACAGGAGCAGCTCCACACCCCATTCCCCAGCCTTGACTCCAGGGTCTTCATGCTACCTCCTGGGAGTCCAGGGTGGGAAGGGCTTTAAGGATGACCTTTCCCAGGGAGTATCTGCATTTATATGAGTGATTTGTGAATATCAACTAAATCTGATCTGAATTGTGTTGGGCTAGGATGTGGAATAGGTTTATAGAGCCCCCAATTCTACCTCAACTAGTCCTCTAGGTCAGGGAGCAGTTTCCAGAGATTTCTCTCTCTTTTTTCCATTTATGAAGAAGCTCAGTGGAGGTAGGAAAGTGTCCTATAGGGCACTATGTATGATCCAGGCTCTGTGCTAAGTGTTGGAAATATTTAAAAAATACACAGCAATATATGACTGTATCAAATCAACATGTTGTACACCTTATATCAATTAAAATATATCTCAATTGAAAAATATATACAACATGGCTTCCTCTAGGGGGGACGTGGGAGTATGGACTGTGTTGCCCCTCCCCCAACAAGTGAATATTTGAAACTAATTCAAGAGCTTTTTTTCTGGAACTTCGGGGTCACCTGTACCCAGAAAACAAGTCTGCAATCCTACAGATGTCCACAAGCTCGTTCCAGCACATGATTGCCAAACTTGCAATCAGTGAGTTCTGGAGGGTACGGTTGAGACCCTCAGGTGGCTAAACTACATAAAAGACTCTATCCTTGTTGCACTTTCTTGAAGACTCCAGGCACCTTTCCATTCAGGAGTCCAGCCATGCAGCTCCCCCATCATCCTTCGTGACTTCAAGGCTGCCTTCCTCAAGTTGAGACCAAACTTAATGCTAGTTTCTTGGTGCATCTGTCATCAAAAAGTCTAAACTTTCTGTACTCACTTTGCTGTAACAGGATCTTTTCCCACTCCTTCTCCCATTCTGCCTTCTTCTCTGACCACTTCTCCATTCCATCATAAATGCTGTCCTGTGGAGGTACAAAGGTACCATGAAGAAAAGCATCCTGAAAGGCTGCATCCTGGCCTGAGGCTCAGCCCTGAGCCCTTTGCAGCTTCCCTCACCTGGGACCCTTGCTGGGGGCCCCATATGGTGACTGGTGGGAGTCAATTCCAGCCCAGTCACCCAAGAGCCTGCAGAACCCTAAAGATCAAAGAGAACTCTGCATGGTGTTTGCCCCGTTGGAACTGGGCTTCCTTTGAAGACAGGCAGTTGAGCATGTTGCAGATGCTCGTGTCAGCTCCCTCTGAACCATGAATCACTCATCAATAGCACAGGGGGAAACAAGGGAAATGCCAAGTTGTTTTTTTTTATCAACTGTCATTGTTTGCCTGGGACTGAGTTGTTTCCTGGGACTCCAGACTGTCAGTGCTAAAACCCGGAAAGTCCCTGGCAAACCAGGACCAGTTGGTCACCATAGGATGGGGGGCTTGCTGGCCCAGCCCTTCCCCTGTCCACTTCCCCCCTCCCACTCTCTCATCCCCCTAGGATGAAATCCTGCCCTAATTCTGGTTTCCTGGGGCTCCATCAAATTAGCTGGCTAAGTGGATGGGCTGTGTTCTGAGGTACCCCCTACCCTGCTTGCTAGAGTCAGTGCAGAGCGACACAGTCCTTTTGGGTGGCAATTTGGCCAAATGCATCAAAGACCTTCCAAGTGTTTATCCTTTTTGACCCAGTACTTTACTAAGATCAAAGATGTTACAAAGTACAAATATTAACAGTGGTTGTCTTGGGGTGGTGATAGTTCATTCTTTTTGTTGTTGCTGCTGTTGTTGCTGTTGTTTTAATTAATTAGTTTTATTCTTGGCTGCGTTGGGTCTTCGTTGCTGTGCGCGGGCTTTCTCTAGTTGCGGTGAGGGCGGGGTACTCTTCGTTGCGGTGCGCGGGCTTCTCGTTGTGGTGGCTTCTCTTGTTGTGGAGCACAGGCTCTAGGCATGTGGGCTTCAGTAATTGTGGCACACGGGCTCAGTAGTTGTGGCTCGCGGGCTCTAGGGCGCCGGCTCAGTAGTTGTGGCACATGGGCTTAGTTGCTCCGCAGCAATTGGGATCTTCCCGGACCAGAGATCGAACCCGTCTCCCCTGCACTGACAGGCAGATTCTTAACCACTGCTCCACCAGGGAAGTCCCTGTTGTTGGTTTTTGAATTCCCATTTTTTAAAAAACAATGAGCAGGTATTACTTTTGTAATGACGAATGTATTTTTCAACGGGCTCCTTTAGGGTCTGGGTGACTGACATGTCCTGCATGGCTGCCATCACAGTCCGCAGGTTCCCTCTTCTCCTTGAGGGCCACTTAGGTTCAAGGAGGCTGGGAATTTCAGGAAATGATTTTCTGGGCAAGAGCTCTAGATTCATTTCAACGTCATCAACCAGGAATGAGCCTTGCTTCTCTTTCTCTCATAATCCACCAAGGAGCTCTGAATCTCACCTGATATATATGAAACATATTCTTCAGATACTTATATTCCTTTCCCATATCCTCTGGACAAAAGGAAAACAACAGGGTCATCATTATTCCTCTGAAATACATGTTTTCAAATTCAAATGAGAGCTCTCCTGCACACCGTCCGTACCTCAAACTCATCTTGTCGGTGGTGAAACCATGGTGTTGCCTTAGCGATCACTCTGGAAGTTTATTAGAAATTTAGATGGCCCGACCCCACTCGAAGCCTGCTGAGTTTCAGAGGCAAGGCTCAGTATCTGTCAAGAATATGCTTCTCAGGTGATTCTGATGCACCCCAAGTATGAGGACTAATCCCTGGGGGCAAACCTACAACTGAAGGAAAAACAGAAGCAAAACCTTCTCTCTTTTTAAAATAACATTCCTAGTGTACCTTGGTTTTGAAAACAATACATGTTCTCTTTACAGAACTGGAAAACCAGCAAGGTACAAATATCATCTTTTAAAAATGTAAGCTAAAGGAAAATAAGGAGATTATAGAAATTCTTCTCCCTGTGGCGATTAGTCTATAAACTCAGAATTCTGAAGGGTACACACTTTGTCCTTCCCAAAGGCAGCATAAATAATGGGATAAATGGCCCACACAACCCTTACAGGTTTTAAGGCCACACAAATCACAGTGTGCCTGTTAGAATTTAATGAAACACCATCATTTTACAGGTGAGGAAACTTGTTGAATTGGAACAGTATTACGTTTGTAGACCTTTTAAATATACTTTAAACAGTGCTTTCACATTCTTATCACTCTGATAAAGGCAGGTATTCTTGTCCTTGATTCCTAGATGGGGAAGCTAAGACTTAAGGAGATGAAGGGACTTGCTCAGACCCCAAAACTTGGCCACAGACCCTTCAAACTTCTGGGGGTAGGGAGGACATTGCTTGACATGGTTTCCCTTTTTTCAGTTTCATTCTCAACCACTTGCTCTTCCTGGGCTTGAGAAGGAAACCTCGAAAGCCTTGGCAGAGTCCACCCGTGGCCGTGGGTGTTCCTCTGCCCTAGATCTGCAGGGTCAGCCGCTACCCCTTCATCAGGGTCATTCTCCCAGGTCCCAACCGTACCTAGTTTATCCTGGGCAGCCAACTTCTCTGCCTTCAAGGCTGCTTTGTAGTTTTTCTCCAGCTCACTGAGCTGTGCTGCGTGAGTCTCCTCGAGCTCCCCGTAGGACCCCAGGAGAAGGCCACAGTCATCCGTGAAAAGTTCACCTGATCCCACCTCCCCTCCCTCACGCAGGCAGCTGGTGGGCAGGCTGCGGGGCCCTCACTTCCTGACACATTCTCCTGACATCCATCCAGAAAAGGGTGAGGAGATTCCTGTTTTCACCATCCACTATTTTGCATGGAGACATCAGGGGGCCATGGATGCCCCCCAACAGTACAGTCTTTGCTTACAATCCTTTTGGGAAACTGTGGGCTGATTAACACGCAGGATAATTTTAGAGCCCAAGGTCTCTCCAGCCTCCATTCCAGGAGGCAGATGTCGGCAGTGTTCAAGAGGAGTGTTAAAATAAAAGGCCATATGGGACTTCCCTGGTGGTCCCGTGGTAAAGAATCCGCCTTCCAATGCAGGGGACGCAGGTTCAATCCCTGGTCGGGGAACTAAGATCCCACATGCCGCGGAGCAACTAAGCCCTCGTGGCTCAACTAGAGAGCCCGCGTGCTGCAAACTACAGAGCCCACGTGCTCAAGAGCCCACGTGCCACAACTAGAGAGAAGCCCATGTGCCACAAGGAAGAGCCCGCATGCCTCAGTGAAGATCCCGTGCGCCGCAACTGAGAACCGACGCAGCCAAAAATAAAAATAATAAGTAAATAAAATAAATAAATATTAAAAAAATAAAATAAAAGGCTGTATGAGCTGTTGAGCCAAGAAAAGACACGGAGGAACCTTAAATGCATATCGGTAAGTGCAAGAAGTCACTGTGAAAGGGCTACAGGCTGTATGATTTCAACTATGTGACATTTTGGAAAATGCACAGCTACGGAGGCAGTCAAAAGATCAGTGGTTGCCAGGGGTTAGTGGGGAGAGAGGGATGAATAGGCAGAGCTCAGAGGACTTTTAGGGCAATGAAATTATTCTGTATGATACTATAATGGCGGATACGTGTCACTAAATATTTGTCAAAACCCATAGCGTGTACAGCATCAAGAGTGAATCCTAATGTAAACTGTGGACATTGGGGGATAACAGTGTGTGTCAGTGTAGGCTTCATTGATTGTAACAAACGTCGCATATTGGTGTGGGATGTCAGTGATGACACAAGGTTGTGCAGGTATGGGGCCCGGGGGTATGTGGGAATTCTCTCTACTTTATGCTCTTTTTTCCTGTGAACTTAAAACTGCTTTAAAAAATAAAGTCTAGGGGCTTCCCTGGTGGTGCAGTGGTTGAGAGTCTGCCTGCCGATGCAGGGGACACAGGTTCGTGCCCCTGTCTGGGAAGATCCCACATGCCGCAGAGCGGCTGGGCCCGTGAGCCGTGGCCGCTGAGCCTGCGCGTCTGGAGCCTGTGCTCTGCAACGGGAGAGGCCACAACAGTGAGAGGCCCGCGTACTGCAAAAATAAAAAATAGTAAAAAAAAAAAAAAAAGTCTATTAGTAAATAAGTCAATTAATTAAAAAAATTTTTAAAAAGCAAGTTTGTGACACTTAGGAAGACTTCTCTCCAGCAGGACAACTGGGGCTGCTCTGGTGCCCAGCAGGAGGTGTGGAAGGGGACTCTTGCTTTTCTCACTCTCACAGAAAACACACCTCCTTTTTCTTCCCCTTGGTTTGTCTCTACAGCTCTGGCTCCTGCCCTTCCCATACCTTCTTCCCATTTTGCCCAGACCTTGACCTAGTAGCCAGGGACAGTAGAGGTGAGAGGAAGAAGAGGAGAGGCGTGGGGAGAGACCAGGCTGGGAACAACAGTAGTTTACCATGAAAACCTCCTGGAGAACCAAAAAACGGCTCTTCTCGGCAATCAACTTAAAGGGAGATTATAATTGAAATGAAATTTGGATGAGAAATTACAAAGCCAGGAATAACCTTCTCCGGGCTGTATTTTAGTGACCTCAGATCAAACCATTCTGCTCTCCAAAGACATGTCTCTTATCTCCCCTACCCCTCGCCACCCAGTTCCATTTGGCCTTGTCTGAAATCCCAGTGAACTGAAATCCTGCAAGGATGCAGGAGCCCTGGGACCTTCAGAACACAAGAGCTTGTGCCAGAAAGTGTACCTCCTCTTGCTTTCAAAGTTCTTCTGCATCTCAGCACAGCGGAGATCCATTTCATTGGCGAGCTAGAAACGAGGCTGGCATTTACAAGACAGGATTGAGGACCCCACTCCCACTCCAACCTGCAACTTCTGAGAAGCCTTCCCATTCACGGGGTATGCCCCTCTCCCCAAGCCTCTCCCGTTGTGTTCGGCAGTGCCAGAAAGCACATCGTTACTGAGGGAACGGGACAATTCTTGCCTCGCTCTGCATTGTCTGGTATGTAATCAGTTCACAAAGGGTGCATGGAAACCATCCCTTTCACTATTTTGTGGGCAGGTCTGCCCTCCTTGGCTGGACTGTAATCTCTTTGTAAGATCATGGCCTTCGGATTTTTGGATACGTAATTCAATTGAGCAATTGTTGATTGTGCAAAGGGCTTGACCTGGAGGAGCCAAAGAGGCCTGAGACTCAGACCCTGCTTTGATGAACTTAAAACCAGTGTTAATAAGCCCTCATTGGCAGGATGGCTCTGTTTCCGGAGGCAGGAAGTGCTCAGTTCCAGGTGAACCTCCTTTCTAACACGCACATCGGGTCCTCTGGCCAGTGCCTCAGGAGGAATAGACACTGCCAGCCGAGACAAGGGCTCGGGGCCAGCACACCCCCCCTTCTGCACAGTCACACAACAATGTAGGGTGTTCACAGCTGGGAGAATTTTAAGAATCCCAATCTGAGGTCCCTCGATGGAAATAATCTCTAAATATGTCTTCAGCAGGGCCGATGCTTCAGTGACTGAAAGTGTGCCTTTTGCCCATTAACCCACCACAGATGAGGTGAGTGATCTCATGCAAATTATTTAACTTCCTGAGCCTCAATTTCCTTTCTGTAGGAAGGTGACCATGAACTTGGCAGGGTTTTCAGGAAGGTATAGGAATGAATCCTCAGAAGGGAAGGTCTCAGCCTGAGTCCTATGCTGGGTCACTACAGGATTCAGACACATCTGGTGTGTATCAGAGGGCGAGGGGCTGGCCTGCTGGGAAGTCACCCTTCACATGTGGGTTTGGTAACGGCAAGTGAGGCGGGGCCGGGGGGGGTGCTGGTGGCAGGAGGGGATAGGCAGATGGGGAGGAGAGGGGAGGAGTTGGGAGGAGATCTAAGGATGGGTCTGATGTATCATTGCAGTCCAGGCCACCAGACACCTCTGCTTAGGGCGGAGAAGAAAAGCCTGTGATAAAATGAATGGTGAATTTTAAAGGGAGTGTTCCCAGAATCCCCAGGGAACACGAAGAGTGCAAACGGAAATGAGCAGGTTCTGGAGAGTGGCCTATGGCAGCTTCACCAGCAACAGGAAGTGGTACTGGAGGCTTCTGGGCAGCTTTTGAGCAAAACTGAAGTCCTGGTCACGCTGGTGCGGTTACTAAGAGCCTCAGCAAGGTCTGAAATTTAACTCACCGCACAGGCCACAGCCAGCCCTGCTGGAAATGGCTGGCACCCCCTAGTGTGGAAAGGATAGTGGCGTTGAACATGCCAGAGGCTCCCCGAGAACTCCCGGAAATTGAGTTAGGCCTAGAGGAGGGACTTGAGTTCTTGCGATTATGGGTGAGGATGGAGTCAGGTCTGTTGCCTGGACAGCCTGGCTCCCAGGAGGAAGGTGCTTGGCCTTGCCTGGAACATAGCAGGTGATCTGAAACTACTGGCCTTTCCCCTTCCCAAAGAGATGTCGGTTAACTCAAGGGCCACTCACCAGTTTTTGGGCAGAACGATGGGCTCTGTTCATTTGCTCTATTATCGCTGTCAGCTCTGAGATCTGTTCTTCGAGGTCAGTAATGATAGCAGTCCTGCGGGACAAGTAATCCGTGATCCACGCAGCTTCCATGCCGTCCCAGTCAGGGCCCTCCCTGGGCATGGCTGGCTCTGGCCTGGTGAGAGCCAGGCCACGTTCTGCACCTGCTCCATCACCATGGGGGGTGGGGGGTAGGGGCAGAGGGTGGTTCGGAAGAAGGAATTTGGCAGTAGGGTGGCTGCGCCTCACACGGAGCCCTTTTGGGTAATCTGGCCAGAAGTGAGCAGGGGTGGTTTTGTGACCCACTGACTAGAAGGGAAAGAGGAGGATGCCAGAAATCTATTAGGATTTGACCTTGACTCGGTAAAGATACTAGAAATGGAGGAGGGAGAAATTCACAGGATTAGGAAATTAGGTGGAGGAATAGAATTGAGGCAGACAGTGACTCATAGACAAGGAATGGGCCGGAAACAGGACAAAGGGGATTTAAGAGTGTGGATTTCAGAGTAGATTTACGGAGTTTTGTGTTTCTGAGTCTGGGGACTCCATGAAATCTGTGAGGTTACTCAGCTCTGTTCGGCTGAGCTGGAGTGAACAGGGTGGCAGGCAGTGCAGCAGAGATGAGGTCCTTGATTCCTGAGGGTGAGGAAAGAAGAGAGAGGATGTAGGAGGAGATGGGGAAGGAGGAGATATGAATGAGAGGTTTAGCAGGTAGCACGAAGAGGATGTGGGGACTGACTTTACATGGTCCCGGAGGATAGAGAGTGGGTGGGCCTTGAATGACAGAGGGGGTGTCAGCATGCCCAGCCGGGATGGAATCAGACCAGAACCTTCCACGCTGCACCTCTCAGAGGCGTAAACTGAGTGGTATCTTTCGACTTAATGGAAAAGAGATGCAGGCTCTGGCCTCCCAGAAACCCTGACCTTACTCTCAGCTCTCACCGTTCAAGTTCAGACTATTTTCTGAACATTGCATCTACTCATTACCTCCAGAAACAGCTAGTCCCCTTTAGTGTGAGGGACACCCACCCAGTCATTCTCCAGATCAGCTGCCTGACTCGTTTGTATGCCTGACTCAAACGGGCTCAGAGCAGAGAGGTGGGTGTGGAGAGGAGCCGGCGCCATGCTGAGGAGTGAAGGGATGCCGTGGACTGGGCGTCAGGTAAGGGGTTCGTCCTCGAGGCCAGGCCGGGGTGGGGCTGAGGAACTGGATGCGGGTCCAGGGACATTGCCTGGAAGTCCTGACTTTGTCCATGTTCTCTGATTCTGAATGCTTTTTCCTAGCAGACATCTCGTCTCCCAAGGTGACGCAAATCTGCTCCCTATTCCGAACGAAGCGGTAGCCAGGTGACACGTTTATTATTTCCTGAGCCTCAAGGTGGAAGATAAGGTATAGTGCAAGCCTGGAGTGCTGAGATTGCTCCAGTCTTCTGCTAGTGCCCTACTCACATCTTAAACACAGACGTGTGAGGTGGGATGCCCGGGCCCAAGTTCCGCCCGTGCCCTCCCCCAGCTTAACCTCTCTCCTCACCCCCAAGCGCAAGACCCGGCTGGCTCCTGAGCGCCCCCATAGGCCTCTCAAATTCAGCATGTGCACAAGCCAGCCGCTGGCCCCTGCCACCGCTCTGCTTCCCAGCCCACATCCTCCTCTGCGTTCTCCTTAATGGCCAGAGGCCAGGAGGCGGCCAGGCATTGTGGAAACCGCTCAGGTTTTGGAATTAGATGGGCCCGAGTTTAAATCCTGGCTCTGCCACCAACCATAGTTATTCAACATCTCCGTGCTTCAGTTTCCTTATCAGAAAATGAGGATAGGGCTTCCCTGGTGGCGCAGTGGTTGAGAGTCCGCCTGCCGATGCAGGGGACACGGGTTGGTGCCCCGGTCCGGGAAGATCCCACACGCCACGGAGCCGCTGGGCCCGTGAGCCATGGCCACTGAGCCTGCGCGTCCTGAGCCTGTGCTCCGCAACGGGAGAGGCCGCAGCAGTGAGAGGCCCGCGTACCACAAAAAACAAAAGAAAACCCCCAAAACAACACCAGCTTGTTATAGTTCTGGAGGGCAGAGTCTGAAATGGGTCTCTCTGGGCTAAAATCAAGGTGTTGGCAGAGTTGTATTCCTCCCGGAGGCTCTAGAGGAGAATCTATTTCCTTGCCTTTTCCAGCTCCTAGAAGCTGCCCCTGTTCCTAGTGGCCTTGTCCTCTATCTTCAAAACCAACAACGGCATCACTCCAACCTCTGCTTCTATCGTCATGTCTCCTTCTCTGACACTCTGACTTCCTCTTTCATGTGTAAGGACCTTTACATTTGCATTAGGCCCACCTGGATAATCCACGTTGATCTGTCCATCTCAAGGTCAGCTGATGAGCAACATAATTCCATCTGCAAACTTAATTTTCCCTTGGCAAGTAACAGAACAAAGTGGTGGTTTCCAGGGATTAGGACATGCACTTCTTTGTGGGCGGGGGGTGGTGGTGGTGTCATTATTCTGCTTACTACATTCATCATCTCTGCTGCTTCTCTGAGCTCGTTTCCCAACACTGTTTCCTCACTTCCTCCACTCCCCCCACATGGGCCTCTTTGCTTTCCAGGAAAAGATCAGACGTGCCAAGCAAGTTCCCACCCAGGGCCTTTGTACCCACTGTTCCCTTGGCCAAGAGTGCTTGCCTGAGGTGCCAAAGCAGCTCCTGCTGGCTTTTTACACAGGGATTGCCCTGACTTCTTGGTATAAAATAGCAATCCCACCCTCCTCCCTATGCCTGTGTTATTTTTCCTCGTAGCACTTGTAGATCTTGGATGGATTAACATGTTTATGGTCATCTCCCTGCCCCTCCCCACTAGAATGTGAGTCCCTGAGAGTGGAGACTTTGCCGTGTTCACTGCTGTCCCCCTGCACCTGACTCAATGTATAGCAAATAATAGGTGCTCAATAAAAATTTTCCAAATAATTAGAACACAAAGATTCATGCAAAGGCCTAAAGCTAAGTTACACATCTAAGCTTATTTATAATTAAAAACTTGTGGATTAAAAACTTTAATTGATGAGTAGAAACAGAGCTGCAATCTACAGAAAACCTTAGACACGGTAATAAGGAGAAGGGTGAGTAGCACCATAAATCCACGGGAGGCTCTTTGCCAAGGACGTGTATTGGGCATCGTGCCCTTTTAGGGCAGGGAATGGCTTTCTGGGGCACTCCCACTGAGAGCTCCTTTGAAGTGACCTTGAAAGCTGTGGGATCAGAGGACCACAGAACCCACTTGTAGGAGCTGAGGTCTGGGAGGAATCCCATTGGGTTCTGGCATTTCTCTGACATACCTGGCAGCAATTAGCTCAAGTCAGGAAGGACTGTGAAGGCCAAGAAGGGAGATTATTTTATTCACATACCTTGAACAGTTCCTGTCCCATGGACATAAAAATACTTACTTTGGGGCGATAACAGATTTTGTTATCAGTTGGGCATAATTTTGTTTTTTTGAAGCCAGAGGAGGAGGAGTTAGCCTGAAAGTGAAAAAGGAAATAACGAGAAAGAGAAAATTGGAAATTCAGAAACCAGGTTTAGCACTCCCCAGTAAGGGAGATCCCCACAGTGAAAATAAATTGGAATATATGGTCTGACAACAGGAATCTTTAAAAACAGGACGATCTTGGGGAACCTCAGGCTGAAGGCCTTGGCACTTGTTCACTGACCAGGGGTTCCCGGGCCAGCAGCACAGCTCATCCCCTGGTTCTAGAAGCTCTTTGTCCTCCATGGAGAGGCAGCTGCCATGGGCCCTTTCCCTGCTGCGCTAATTCTGAGACTTCCTCATTGAAAATGACACTCAGCCCCAGCATCACTGGCTAGAGCGCTGTGCAGCCTGCAGGCTGTGGAAAGCTGGGCTTTCTGGCCCTCTTGGGATTTTGCTGCCAAGTTGACAGTTTCAGAAATCTTGTGAGAGAAAGCTGGCTGTAATGGAGCCCAAGCCCCCAGGCTCCACTCCATCCCAGGTAGTCCTTACTTGGATTTCACTGGGGAGGTCTTTCTTGGTAGCTGAGGGGTCTCGATTAGTTTCTGTGGTCCCAAGTTCCAGGGATCCCAGCAGGTGCAGTAGACGAGAGGGTTGGGGTACATGACAGGTCAGGGGCCGCCTTGGCTTCTAGGTCAGGAGGCCCTTGCTGAAATTGGAAAACGGCAGCAGAGTCACAGTGTTCAGAGTCAGAGCAACAATACTTAGAGACAAATTGGGAAGAACCCAGGGAAGGCCCAAAGCACAGATGACAGATTCTGGAAGTTGTCGATGTGGTACAGTCTTGACTATAGAATAACACCTCACCCCTTGCCACCTAGGAGACTTGACTTGAAAGCAGTTTCACATTTGATGTAGTTGAGTGCTTACTATGAGTCAGATCCACAATAAGTGATCAGTTATTGTTATGCCAACTTTACAGATGAAGATAGTGAGGCTCAGAGAGGTCACGGAGGTAGCAAGTTGAAAAGCTGGGAACAAACACAAGTCTGTCTGACTCCTAAGCACTTGCTCTTCCATCAGGTCACACTAGCTGTCTCTAAAGCGAAGAGGAATCCCTACAGCAAGTCCTTCATAGACCTTTCTGGAAAATCAGGTCTGTTAGTCAAATTATAGTGCAAGCAGATCTTTCAGTCTCTCTTTTCTGGTCACCTGCCTGAATTACACAATCAAAACTCTTCTTTCTTGACTCCATAAAAACAAAACCAATAACAAAAACCCCTGTTACGAAGGTTTGCGTGAAAGACAACTGTCAGATAAACATGGAGCCTTGATCACACTTGTTTATCTTCTTTCTTTTCCAGAACCCCACGAAAATGAGAGTAAAGATTAAAAGAGATTTAATTCCACAAAAACAAAGAGAATGAGAGAGGAGACAATATTGCACAGGCGATGTCAGTACATGCTTGGCACCATAACTCCCTCACTTAGCTTCCATAGGAACCTGCAGCCTACGTGCCTGCAAAGGGCGTACAAACCAGCAGGAACCAATTTCCAGGTGAAAGCTCCCTAAGACTCAGGATTGGAACTGGTAGATTATCTGATGATTCTGATGGGTATTTGACCGATCTGTTGGAGCACATGGTAGGTCAAATAATGTCCCCCCCAGCAAAAAAGTCTATGCTCTAATCCCTGGAACCTGTAAATATGTTACCTTACGTGCCAAAAGGGGCTTTGCTGCTGTGATTAAGGATTTCCCCCTCAACCATGCTTTTTTTCCCCTCTAGTTTATTTTTTATTGAAGTATAGTTGGCATATAATATTATATGTTTCCAGGATACAATATAGTGATTTGACATTTATATACATTACAAACTGATCATGATAAGTCTAGTAACCATGTCACCTTGTAAAGTTATTACAGTATTATTGACTGTATTCCATAGGCTGTACATTACATCCCTATGACATTTATTTTATAACTGGAAATTTGTACCTTATGATCCTCTTCATCTATTTTGCTCAACTCCTTTTTTTTTTTTTTTCTTGCGGTATGTGTGCCTCTCACTGTTGTGGCCTCTCCTGTTGCGGAGCACAGGCTCCGGGCGCGCAGGCTCAACGGCCATGGCTCATGGGCCCAGCCGCTCCGCGGCATGTGGGATCTTCCCGGATCAGAGCATGAACCCGTGTCCCCTGCATCGGCAGGCAGACTCTCAACCACTGTGCCACCAGGGAGGCCCTATTTTGCTCAACTCTTTATCCCTCTCCCCTCTGGCAACCAGTTTGTTCTCTGTATCTATGAGTCTGTTTCTGTTTTGTTTTGTTTGTTCATTTGTTTTGTTGTTTATTTTTTATGTTTTAAAGTCATTATTAAAGTTTTTATTGAAAATAACTCACGTTCATACAGGTAAGGCCAATATAGTGTGTTATCAGAATAGAATAAATCAGAGTTGCTTGGCTGGTTAAGGAGTCACATGGAAAGACTGGCAGGAAACTGAGTTTAAAAACAATGTAGATAACTAAAATATTTTAAAATGTTATATTAGAATTAGAAATGTTATACTAAAAATATACTAGAATATACTAGAATTTTTGCAAAAGTGAAAAAGGGTGTTTTGTTTTTTAGATTCCACAGGGAAGTGAAATCATTCAGTGTTTGTCTTTCTCGGACTTATTTTACTTGGCATAACAGCCTCTAGGTCCATTCATGTTGTTGCAAATGACAAGATTTCATTCTTTTTTATGACTGAATGATATTCCATTGTATATATATGGCACATCTACATTCATTCATCTGTTGATGGGTACTTAGGTTGCACAGCAAAGGAAACCAACAAGATGACAAGCCGACCTACTGAATGGGAGAAGATATTTGCAAACGATATATCTGATAAGGAGTTAATATCCAAAGTATAAAAGAACACATACAACTCAGTAGCAAAAAAACCAAACAATTCGATTAAAAAATGGGTAAAGGACCTGAATAGACAATTTTCCAAGGAAGATATACAGGTGGCCAACAGACACATGAAAAAATGCATAACATCACTAATCACCAGGGAAATGCTAATCAAAACCACAATGAGATATAGCCTCACAACTGTCAGAATGGCCATCATCAAAAAGACAACAAGTAGCAAGTGTTCACGAGGATGTGGAGAAAAGGGAATCCTTGTGCACTGTTGATGGGAATGTAAATTGGTGCAGCCCCTATGGAAAACAGTATGGAGGGTCCTCAAAAAGTTAAAAATAGAACTACCATACAATCTAGCAATTCCACTTCTGGGTATTTATATGGAGAAAACAAAAACACTAATTTGAAAAGATATATGCACCCCCCTATGTTCATTGCAGCATTATTCATAATAGCCAAGATACTGAAGTTAAGGATCTTGAGATGGGAGATTATCTGGATTATCCGTGTGGGCCCAAGGTAATCATTAGTGTTCTTTTAACAGGAAGGTGGGAAGGTCAGAGTCAGAGAAGAAAATGGCCAAGTAGGAGTGATTGAGGTAGGGGCCATGAGCCAAGGAATGTGGGCAGCCTCTAGAAGTTGGAAAAGGCAAGGGAATGATTCTCCTCTGAACCTACAGAAGGAACGAAGTCTTGCCGACATCTTGATTTTAGCTCTGTGAGACCCATTTCAGATTTCTGACCTCAGAACTAAAAGATAAACTGGTGTTTTAAGCCACTAAATTTGTGGTAATTTGTTACAGAGCACTTGTAATAGGAAACAGAAAATTTGGGGAAAAGTTAAAAATAGAAACATAGACACCTAAGAAAATTAAAATTGCATAATTACTGCAGGCTAACAAATATTGCATAAGAAAGTAAATAAACTCACAGTAAGGAACACTCTCATATATATTAATGTAAACGCTTAATATTGATTTAACCAAAAAGTGATTTGTGACTGCACTGGAAGATTGGGGGTGGGTGTGGGATGGAGAATGTTGGCCCAACGACCAGGTGACAGGGCCACTGTATCTAGCTGTCCGTGTTCCCCTTTGCTGGGGGCTTGGTCAGGAGGTCTCAGGGAGACAAGGGAAGGAGGTGGGTGGAGCACACCAGGTGAGAAGATGGTGCCACAGGGGACTAGAATTCAGGTAAGAATCTGAGAGGAGCCTGCAGCAGTAGTAAGACAGACGTTCTGCTTCTGTTTAGGGCCTTGTATCTGCTTCCTGTGAGAATGGGGCCGATCCTGAACTTGGGGGTTTAGAGGAGTCCCTGGGGCAAGAAGTGAGAGGCTGGGGCAGGCCAACTCCCAGCAAGTGCCTTCCCTATTCCATTTCTTGTCGGCCCATCTGGACTGAGCAGTTCTTAAAGGCCTGGATCCACCATGTCATTCTCTGTGCCCCCAGGGAGCCTGGCAAAGCAACTTGTCCACGACAGGTATTTGATAAATATTTGTTACCTGACTAATAAACTGGGTGGCTCTAATCACAGGGAGCAGTCAACAAGGAGAAAGGAGCTCCACAAGTGAAACTGTAAAAATGTACAGAAGTAAATTATGGTACAACCACTCAGTGGAGTTTATATAGTTGTTTTTTTTTTGCTGCACCACGTGGCGTACTGGATGTTAGTTCTCAGACCAGGGATTGAACCCATGCCCCCTCCAGTGGAAGCAGAGAGACTTAGCATTGGACTGCTAGGGAAGCCCTATATAGATTTTAACTGACCACTTTAAAGCCTGTGGAAACATGAAGAAATGAGTATGAACCAAGATATAAAATAGTGTGTATGCAATGAATACAATTATGTAAAAGTTTGTATCAATATGGACAAGGGTTAGAAAAGAATATATTTAAAAATGAAAATTGGGCCAGAATGTCAGAATTATAGTTTTTCTTCCCCCCTCCACAACATTCTTTACTAAAATTTTCTTTGGATTTTGGAATCAGATGGGTCCGATTTGCATGGAAGCTTCTCCACTTATCACCTGTGGGACATCAAAAAATGTACTTTCACATTTCTGAGTCTCAGTTTCCTCATCTGCAAAATGGGGACAAAAATTCATGCCTCCTCATTGTGCTGTTGTGCACATGAAACGAGACCATGTCAGGAAAGCTCTTGGCACACTGCCTTGCATACATTACATTCTCAAAAACTGGTAACTGAGTTTAGGAATATTATGAACCCCAGTGGCATTTTGTTTACAGAAACTTTTATTTCTAAATTTGTGGGAGAATAGGTTTATTTTTGTGTTTCTGTTAAATTGAAATATGCTTATTGTAAAGAAAATCATAACACAGAAGAGTCTAAGGAAGTAAAAATTCTCCAAAATACTAACATCTAGAGATGACCACTGAAAATATTTTGATTAATATCTTCTAGAATTCTCTCTAAAGAAACAGATTTATATAATTTTCCATAAATGAGAACAAACTCTACTTACATTCTAGATGTGCATTTTTTAAACAATGTCATGAGCTTCTTTAATGTCAGTAACTATATATATATATAGTATATATATAGTATAATATATATATATAGTATAATCATATAATCTTTTTTTTTTTTTTTTTTTT